GTTTTGTAACCATGTGCCAAGTAGAGCTTTCCAATTCTGCACATGTAGCGGCGGCAAAAGTAGCTGTGTCAAAGTGGAGGGTGGTTGTAGCCGTCGTTTGCGCAATACCTGAGTGAGGAGCTTCTGGGCCTTGGAGCGGAAGGGTTCGTTGACGAAAACTGCGAGCCGCAATAAGTAGTACAGCTGAGTGGGGGGGAAGGCGGCCGACAGCAGGTCACGCATGACTTGGAACGACGCTCCTGTATTCGATCCCAGCTGATAGAGAATCGAGTAGTGGGCTTGAATGTCATCCAGTGCGTCTGGTCGTAGTTGTCGTTGGAGATCCGGATGTAGTCGTCGTCGAAAGCGCTTGTGCAGGCCGAGGGAAGTTGGAGACGACAACGAGTGGCGTCGAAAATCAACAAGATGTTCCCGGAAGCCCACCTTGCGCAAGATTCTGTGTACCCAGGGCGCATTCAAATGCGGGCGTAGCAGGTATTGCCATTTGCTTTCTTGAACCCACACCGAGGAAACTGGAAGTTTGACTTCCACTGGTACAGCGCAGAAGATCCAGTAAGTATTGGATCGTTTCCAGTAGTGGAGCGCCGGTTCAAAGAAGGCATGCCGCCCACGTAGTAGTTGTAGAAATTTGCGACTGCGTGAGTGTTCACGACGTAGAACATCCTGATCAGTCGCCCCAACATAGTATGGTGTGTGCCATGGGGAAAGTCGAATGTAGACGCAGGGTTGTTGATGATGACCTGGGTCATGTATGAAGTCGTAGAGGCCAGGCAATCGCGCCCGCAATGAGCGTAGATGTCGCGTGTCAGCGAAAGCTGAGTGCATGATTTCACACAAGAGAGAAGTCTTGTAGAAGTGAAGAACTTCAAAAAACGGCGGGAAGTAGCCGTGATCCTGCGAAATGAGCCGTTGTAAGAAACTGATCAATAAATAGGCAGCGCACCGACATCGGTGAAGTTCGTACCTGTTGGCCACGGTGTGATGAGAGTTGGACATAGCGCAATTCGGAATCTGGAGGGCTATCCGGACCACCACTAAGACCTCGAGGATGAGACTCAGCCAGGGCAATTGCGTGATGGATTCATACTCCTCAACTGGAATCGACGGTGGTGGTAGTCCAGGGAAACAGTAATTCCAGCACGTCGTGAATGTGGTCAACGAGTGCAGAAGGTCGTCCAGCGACTGCCATTGTGCAACATCATCATAGATTCCGCAGCGGCGAAGTTCATCCAACATGGTGAGATGCAACCAACTGAATCTACCACAAGGCGGCGACATGAATACAAGCGTCACAGACCTTCACACAAGAGGCAAGGCAAGAACAAGCAAGTACAAGAGCAATCATGTGCAACGCAATCATTTGACGGACGAATTTTCTCCTGGACTCATCCGTGACATTGTTGCCGCTCCGGGCTCATATGAGAACGAAGGTCGTCATGATGCCTTCTCATCCACAAAGCAGGCGAGCGGTCACGATGAGGTGACCCAATGCCTTCTCAGTGAGTTTGGTAAGGTATCCAGGTTCAAGACCCCATGATGCTGCCATTGCGCCGAGTGTGGGTGCATCGCCCTTCGGCATGCGTTGCCTGGCTTGAAGAAGCTGCGTCGCCATAGAATCTAACGACTTGTTGCCGTTGAGTCGGGACGGGTGATTGGCCCACTTAACCAGCGATGCCAACGTGGTTGTTGTGGGCGCTTGTTTGAGGAAAAGGCGAGGTTGGTCACTGGTCCATGTGTAGTACTTGACAACTTCATCCGGCGTGCTGTGCATGGTGAGCAACTGTGACGCCGCCGGTTTGGGCGGCGATGACGACACTCCGTGAAGAGACTGCATGATCCGAGGTTGCACCACGCTATCAAACGACTTGCCATCCAGGGCGGCCGCGCTGGCTGTGGGAAGGGAGCTGGCAGGTGACGAGGATGGTGTGAGGTTGACCGGTGGCGGTGTAGCTAACTCTGCATCATCTTTCTGGTTTGTCGTCGTGGGTGAGGTCGATGCTCGAAGTGATGCGGAATATTGAGCTTGGAGAAGTTCATGTGCACGATTCAAATCATTGAACTTCTTGACCATGTCATCGGTCTGGGCGGCAGGTGCGAGAGAGGTGTGATGTTGTTGAAGAAATTGAAGTACCAGGTTGGCCAAATGGTCGTGGACCTTGATGCGCTGATTGAAGTCATCAATGTTGAGACCCAGCGTGTTGGCAAGGTCCTTTTCCAGGGTGAGCAGGTTGAGTGACTGCGATCTTCGTAGTAATTTGGAGCAGGTACTCCAAAGTAAGGCCTCAGTGCGGGTGCGAAAGCCTTCCCACGTCACGAACCTGCCGTGTGCAAATGGCCTGAGTAGCCAGTTGGTGAGGCCCCCGTGGATAACCTGAACCAGGCGTACGTCACGAAGATCCATGCCGGACATGTCGCGAAGGTTGCCATGTGGAGTGTTGGCAACGGTCATGGGCAGGCTGAAGTTGTAGAGTTGATTGACATCAAACATGCCGTCTCCAGGTGTCCAGTCAGGCGAAGGAGTAAGCCAGGCTTTCTGAGGACGAACCGGTAGAGCTGCAGGTGGTCCAGGTGTAGGTGTAGGTTGGGAAGTAGTAACCAGTGGTGGCATCACTGGTGTAATGAACTTGGATGGCGTGGGATCTGGAGGGACCGGCATCATGTAGTTGATCGCTGGGTATTGGAATTGTTGTGTGGGGCTGTGAGTCGATTGAAAATTGGTAGGCATCATCGGAAAGTTGTTGGCAGCGTTGTAGCCGGAGTTGTAGCCGGAGTTGTGTTGCCATGAAACCAAGTTGTTCCAATCCATGTTCTCCGAGACCTGGGTGTCATGGTGCTCACGTCGGCGTGTTTTGTGAGCTTGAGGGGACGGACTCCGATCACGTCTACGCCGAGTCCTGGATCTATCCCGATCATCACGCCGAGACATGGTGACGCAACTGACTCAGAATCAGCACACTTCCACCTTGAGAGAATCGGACCCGACAACATTCAAAGCAATGCAAATAAAAGTTAGCGGCCGTAAGCTGCAATGGTCAACCGACATGTACAAGACAAAGCAAACCCAAGTCAGCAAACGTCAACAGCAATAATCAGCAACTGCAATGAAAGACGGCAGTTATCAGCAGCGGTGAGACGTCACTATGATCTGACGGCTTTCTTCCCTTTAGTGAAACCTCGTTCCTGGTTAAATGTGAAATTCCGCTGTTCTATGATAAGCACGTTGAGGTCAAATTTTCCGACAGAGCCGGCCCGGGGTCACACAATGGGTACACCCGAGGATTCCCCACGAATGGGGTGTACACACTTGAACTCCAGATGGAGAGTGCTAATCTTTCGAGTACAACTGATGAGTCTCGAGTACAACTGATGAGTCTCGAGTGGGTTCGGCTTGCAGTCACTTGGCTTCCGTCTAGCAGCGAACACGTTACCCGAAAGAACAAGAAGCACAAACAGCGCCGCAACCAAGGGGGCCAAAAGGACTTTCAGAATCACTTGCAGGTACAGGAGTTTGCGTCCAAACTCCCTTCCGGCTCATTCTCACAGCTTCGTTGGCACGGCTAGAGAATGAGCTGCCGTGCCCCCTGCTTCCGAAAACGGCCCAAGGTGGTGACAGGGTATTCTGCCACTCCGCACACACACACACACACACACACACACACACACACACACACACACACACACACACACACACACACACACACACACACACACACACACACACACACACACACACACACACACACACACACACACACACACACACACCACACACACACACAACACACACACACACACACACACACACACACACACACACACACACACACACACACACACACACACACACACACACACACACACACACCCACACACACACACACACACACACACACACACACACACACACACACACACACACACACACACACACACACACACACACACACACACACACACACACACACACACACACACACACACACACACACACACACACACACACACACACACACACACACACCACACACACACACACACACACACACACACACACACACACACACACACACACACACACACACACACACACACACACACACACACACACACACACACACACACACACACACACACACACACACACACACACACACACACACACACACACACACACACACACACACACACACACACACACACACACACACACACACACACACACACACACACACACACACACACACACACACACACACACACACACACACACACACACACACACACACACACACACACACACACACACACACACACACACACACACACACACACACACACACACACACACACACACACACACACACACACACACACACACACACACACACACACACACACACACACACACACACACACACACACACACACACACACACACACACACACACACACACACACACACACACACACACACACACACACACACACACACACACACACACACACACACACACACACACACACACACACACACACACACACACACACACACACACACACACACACACACACACACACACACACACACACACACACACACACACACACACACACACACACACACACACACACACACACACACACACACACACACACACACACACACACACACACACACACACACACACACATTTGAGGGTTCCCCCTGATTCGAAGCAGGCTTTAAACCTGGTTTGGGGTTGGGAGGGTCCAACCCAATTTGAGACTGTGTCGTGTTAGGGTACCCTTTCTGGTGGCAGCGTGCATGAAACCGACCAATTTGAAGGATTCCCTGACTTCAGGCCCAGGGTTGGGCCAATGCCTTGTTTAAACATGTTCAAGTCGCTTGTTTAACGACCCTCTTAGTTCCCTTGAAGGGCCACCATGCTGCTGATCCTTGAAACATACGTTGCATCTCGCCCTCCCCGCGCATGCGCGCGCCTTGCGCGCCTTCGCGCGAGGAGACGGAGGCGGCCATGGCCACACTGCGAGAGGCGAGCCGGGAGATGGAGGCCATCGAGTTCGAGAAGCCGCTCGGCCTGAACGCGACCTCTTCGCGGCCCTCGCGTTTTTCCGTGTTGTTTTTGAGTGCTGTTCTTCCCAGCTGCAAGCGAATTGGGGGGCTGGGGTTCCGGAAGGTTCTTGGGAGTTCTGTTGGGGGAATTGATGTTCCTGTTTGAGGACAAGGGGTGCTTTGGCTCTCTCTTTATGTGGGGAAGTTTTGTGCGAAGGGTGTTGTTGTTGGGGGGTGGGGGGGGTAGGTGGGTGCATGTTTGTTTTCTGTTCTTTTGGGCAATTTGGGTGGTTTTTTGGGTCTTGGCAACGTGCGGTGCGGGAAAACTGGGTGCATTCAATTTTGCCTGATTCTCTGTTCTGTGAGTTTGAATTCCATTCCATGCCACCGGATTGCCAATGCTTTACAAGACCCTAAGTATGTTGAACCGAGTCTCAATCCTACACTGCCGGCAAATGAATCCTTTCTTTCAAAAAGAGCGCCCTGTTGGCGCAAATGCCATCTTGCCTCCGTTTTTGTTGCCCTGCCACGCACATCCTGCCTGCGGTGATTCCAAGGAAGCAGCTGATGATGCAATGGAGGCCTGGTTTGCATCGCTGGCGGGCCGGTGCCACCGTATTCAGTTGGACTGAAGACATTGGCAGTGGGTTCGGTGTAAGGCCGATTGCGAAAATCAGAGGGATGAAATGACTGGAATCAGAAAGGCCATTGACGCTCAGAGGGAACAGGCGCAAATGTCATACTGGGGAGAGGACCATCTTCAACCAGACCGAGGAGCCGTGCATTTCAGGTTTTGTTTTGCTCGGAGCGACTAGCTTGTCAGAAATCTTCAAACACCACAATGCACGCAAGCTCCAGGCAGCTGTTTGCCAACCAGGGGGGTTCTGGTATTCCCATCAACATGGAGCCCACCTGGCCATCATTTTTCCTGAACCCGCCGCTGCTCGCAGGTCCTCGCTGGTGGGCATGCAGCGGAGGGACGAGGCCCTGGAGAACGTGCAGAAGGCCCTAGAGGAGCAGAGCGAGGCTCCGTTGGGGTCGGGTTGCTTGGGGTTTTTGAGGGGAAGGGTGACTCCAGAAAAGTCCTCAATGGTTCAGGATGGGAAGGCTGAGGTGGGCGCTTGAAAACTTGTTGGCTTGAGTCCGCTGCTTGCAGAATGCTACACACATTTCTGAGATTCCTCGAATATTGAGTGGTTTTTGGTTGCCATGTTATTTTGCCGCGGAGTTGGAAGTCTTTGGTTCCGCTGCACCTGCTTACTTTGACCCACGTGTTGCTCAGGCGGAGCTCGCCATCGAGAACGAGATCCGCGGCCTGCACTCTTCCATCCGCACCGAGCAGGAAATTCTGCGGCTTCAGAGGGTTCAGTTCAATGCGGTTTGGCCACTCAAAAAAAAGCAGGACCTGGGCAAAATGGCCCTGAACTCAGTGTCACATCAGGGACTTGAACATGCTCCCTTTGGATGGAAATACGACTGGAGTTTGCAGCCTCCTTTGAGGAAAGTTTGCTCTCTCCAATCACAAGTTGACTGATGGTCAGGTTTGGGAAGTCATCAATTGTTGCTGGGCTGAGACATCACCTCCCATGTACTAGAGGACATTTAACCATCATCACCTGTGTAAAGTTAACTGGCAGGTGCCACTTGTGATGTACACTGGCCAACCGTGCGTGGAACGACCTTTGAACTGGTGCTAGCTATTAATGAGAGCAGCATTTTCCTTGCGGCCCTTGCGCTTGCCAAGGGAAGATCTGGTTGCAACTAAAAAAACAAGATGCACTGATAGGCTAGCAAGCATTTTGCCTCAATTTTCCCTCTTGCGTGCAACCGACTTCTCTAAAGCATCAGCCCCATATTGGAGACTCCAAGTCACCCCCCTCTTGAACGCTCTCGTGAAGCTCTTGGCTCGCCCTATTTCAAAGGCTCGCCCGCAGGCTAAAAACAGATGGCACTGATTTCCGTGTGGTGTCGATGTTTCCAAAGACAACGGCCATTTCGCCAGGAGCGGCATGAGCAGCTGTGCGCCCTGAGGGTGCCGGCCTTACCCTTTTGCATGGATCGTAGAATCAAGAGTCGGTTCAGCGGAGTTTTCAGGTTTCTTGCTGCGTGAAGGGGAGATATGGCGAGCCCATTGGATGATTTTGATAGGAAGCCAAAAAATAGTGGCATTTCCAGGATCCCTTTTGTGACAGCCGGATATGGACGACGCGGGCAGCAACAAAAAGCGACTAGGACCGCAACGAGAAGGAGATGCAGACTCTGCAGACGCAGATGACGAATCTGAAGCAGGAGCGAGAGAAACTCATGGCCCAGTACACTACGCTCAACAAGAGCTCCTGGGCTTTGCAAGTTCTCGGTGTAGTCCACGGGTCAAAGCTGAGATGGTGGTCGTGAAATTTGTTTGGATTCCGCCCAATGCCTTGCAGGTTCATCGAAATATTTGGGCAGAACACTTTGGTGGCGAGTATGTTTGTCAACCATGGTTCAGTAGGTAGATATATAATATATTTAGATAGGACCTTGTTTTCATTGGTGTGTTCTACAGTTAAACAGTTTCTTTGGGGAAGTGTGACATGATGGTCAAGGAGGTGACCACCTCCACCACGCTTTGATGTTTGCCTAATCTTTCTTCCAGACTCTGATTTGTTGCTCTCCCCCAAGGCATGGACGAGCACTCCGCAGAGACGCAGCGCCTGAAGGGCGCCATCACCGATCAGACCCGGCAGATGGAGGTCCTGGAGCGGAACATGCAGCAGGTCTCTCGGGACATCACAGTGATCGTGGGCAAGATCGAGGAGGCGCGGCGGCCGCTGTGAGAGGGTGAGGGGTGTGGCGGCTGGGTGGGTTGGTGGCCGGGGGAGAATGGGGTCGATGTCGAGTTTTTGTATGAGTTTTGTGCCCGAGAAACAATGACCTTGTTGTGAACCCAGCGGACATGACATCTCGAGATTTGACTGAGGGCAAATGACGAGTTCCTGCTCCCTTCACAACAAGGGCCCCAAAACAACCTGCAAGGCGATGCTGGCTCCTGATTCATGGGCGTTTTTGCGGAGATTCCTTGTGGAAGCCCCCGATTAGTTGGTCGAGGGCTTCTTACTCGAGCATCGCTAGCTTTTGCCCCACTTGGCAGGAGATGAGCGAGCAGACGACGTGCGACCGGGTGGCTGCCAATAGTCCTGCCCTGAGAGATGCGGAAGGCGAAGGACACGTGAAGTCCCATGGTCGGGTCTAGGATAAGCCCTGGCTGCCTGGCCTAAGTTCGTGAGAGTCAAACTTGGGCAGGAGGGGGATCTACAAACCGCCTTGGTTCGAAGAAGGCCACTCTTAGTTTTCATGTTGTTTACTTGGGCACTGATGCCCGCAGGTTGTGTCATGCTCCACTTGCCGACGCAGCCTAGGCCGAAAACGAATGAAAAAGATTCGGGAAGAGATCGCGGCAAAGGAGGCGGGCGATGGCTGGGGATGGCGGCCAAAGAAGCCAAGGCAATTGCCGATAGCTGTGCTTTGAACAGGATCATTCAAGTGTCACAGTGCATCTTCTCAAATCAGATCATGTCAAAGGGCAAAACGGGGGGAGCCGTGTACATATGCATGAAAACGCACTGTCAAGGGTCACGGTGCATCTTCTCAAATCAGATCATGTCAAAGGCCAAAAGGGGGGGAGCCGTGTACATATGCATGAAAACGCACTGTCAAGGGTCACGGTGCATCTTCTCAAATCAGATCATGTCAAAGGCCAAAAGGGGGGGGAGCTGTGTACATATGCATGAAAACGAACTGTCAAGGTGCATCTTCTCAAATCAGATCATGTCAAAGGCCAAAAGGGGGGGAGCCGTGTACATATGCATGAAAACGAACTGTCAAGGGTCACGGTGCATCTTCTCAAATCAGATCATGTCAAAGGGCAAAAGGGGGGGAGCCGTGTACATATGCATGAAAACGAACTGTCAAGGGTCACGGTGCATCTTCTCAAATCAGATCATGTCAAAGGCCAAAAGGGGGGGAGCCGTGTACATATGCATGAAAACGCACTGTCAAGGGTCACGGTGCATCTTCTCAAATCAGATCATGTCAAAGGCCAAAAGGGGGGGGAGCTGTGTACATATGCATGAAAACGAACTGTCAAGGTGCATCTTCTCAAATCAGATCATGTCAAAGGCCAAAAGGGGGGGAGCCGTGTACATATGCATGAAAACGAACTGTCAAGGGTCACGGTGCATCTTCTCAAATCAGATCATGTCAAAGGCCAAAAGAGGGGGAGCCGTGTACATATGCATGAAAACGAACTGTCAAGGGTCACGGTGCATCTTCTCAAATCAGATCATGTCAAAGGCCAAAAGGGGGGGGAGCCGTGTACATATGCATGTAAACGAACTGTCAAGGGTCACGGTGCATCTTCTCAAATCAGATCATGTCCAAGGGCCAAAGGGGGGGAGCCGTGTACATATGCATGAACGCGCACTGTCAAGGGTCACGGTGCATCTTCTCAAATCAGACCATGTCAAAGGCCAAAAGGGGGGGAGCCGTGTACACATGCATCAAAACATTTAAGTGTCACGGTGCATCTTCTCAAGTCAGATCATGTCAAAGGCCAAAAGGGGCTAATCAGATTAACCAACTAGCAGGGATTAGCAGGTTTTGTTGCAGTAGCTTTTCAAGTTGCCCCGCGCCGGGGCTTTGCTTAATCCCTGCTTCCGTCCGCAGCCCTGCTAGTTTGTTTCAGCAAAACGGACCCGAGTGCTGCCCTCCGGAAATCAGCACCTGAAGTTGTTTGCCTCGAGCCCCCCCTCCGTACTCGAGTTGGCCACATGCTGCAGGGGACCGAAGGCGTGTGAGCAGCTCTGACGTTTCGCTTTCTAGATTTTACGGTGACCTTGAGAATGCCCTGAACTGAAATAGAAGCCAAACCCTCAAACGAGTGCCAGCAATGCGCGACTTCGCTACGGAGCCAAAACGTGTGAAAATAAGTAGTGATGAAGATCAAGCAACAGAAGAAGGCTGAACAACAAAGTAGTTTGCACCTCATGCCTAAAGCAACAAGCATCACATGTGACTCGGCCAATGGTCAACTGCTGCAGTTCCTACTCATCACTGGAATATGATACTAACTAAGTGCGAGCGGGCACTTCTGCCAGGTGGAGACGCAGAACCTTCTCAACGAGATCGCCCGTGTCACGGTGGACAGCCTCAACACCAAGGCGCACAATCAGATGCTCAAGGATCGCCACAAGCAGCTCAGCCGCGGCCTCGTAGGGCATGCGGCGAGAAGGGTCTGGGGTTGATATATATATATATATATTATCAATAATATATTAGTATATATAATTATATAATATATACAATATATGATGTATATATACATGTATATATGTATGAGGGAGACATGATTGGATGTCCTGGTCACTTGCGCCCCACCAGCGATTTGTTGAGCAAAGCCCCCTTCACACGACCATGTATTTAGAGTAGGGCCCTTATGATTGGTTGATATTTCAGCACGAACCTCTCTAGGCGATGAGCTGGCGGAGCGCGAGAAGCTCATCGAGCAGTACGTGCCGTGTCTGCATGAAAGGGCGACAGCTGCATTTGGTGCACCTGCTTTGTGAGAGCAAAGCCGGGTTGTAGTCATGTGTGAAACAAATGCGCTTTTTCTGAAGAACCCTTTGCTCCCAACCTGACGTTCTTTACAGCATCTTCGCATATCGCCTCTTTAGAACTGTGCTGGTGGAGATGTCAGCTTGTGCTTGTGGCCAGCTTTGGCTTCTTGTGATTGGCCTGGCCTGGCCTCTTTGAGCTTTTGACGGCTTCCTAAAGATTGCGACCAATTGCAGGAGCCCTGATCTTTGAGAGACTCAAATCGTCTTGGGACTGAGTCGCGGACTGGCTGTCACTTCAGCGTGAAGCGCGAGAAGTAAGGAACAAGAGATTCGGAAGAGACACCACCAAATTGAGAAGAAGCAGCTCTTTGTCGACCGCCTGAACAGAGAGTACGATGAGAAGAGGCAGCGGGTGGGGAGACTGCAAGAGCAGCAGCTGTTTACGCATTTCCTAGGTTGCTCTCTCGCTAGTTGGTGTGTATTCCTTCAGCCTTGATCATGACAATTATGACTTCAATTCGGCTTGCCCATGCTCGCATTAGCAGTCTCTCTCTCTCTCTCTCTCTCTCTCTCTCTCTGTGTGCTTCATGTTGATTCCTGGGTCTAAATATGCATTATCAATCTCTCCTTGAGCTTATTTCTCTTAATTAGCGTTTGCAGAAGCTGATTCTTTGGCGAGCAAGGCTTGTTGTAGACCAGGGGGGATTCTTCACAGATGTTAGTCCAAAGGTGCAGCAGCACAGCCTTATTTTAAGTTTTTGTTGGTCGGTGGGCCACTTGTTTGCTGTTTGGGATATCAGGAACGTGGAGGGACGGACCTTCGAGTGAGCCGCGATTGATTCGGAGGGCTGGATTCAGCAACAGCCAGGTAAGTGTCAAACGAGTTGGATCCCTTTTTGGCTTATCCTAAAAGCAGACAAACAAATACCAGCCAGTCATTTTTTATTTTTTTTTAATGTTTACACCAGCCGTTGAAACCAATTCGGAGGGCGACTGGTTGTAACGCCATCCCCGGTTTGGTTCCACTCGCCGCATCCAACGCCCAAAGCGGCAGGACGAAGCTGGAGGCGGAGATCGGCAACGACGAGGACGTGGCCGGGCCGCAGGCCGGAGCCTCAGTCCGCTGGAAACCAAAGTGGAGGCTTCCCGGTGGGAAGGGACCTGCAGCTGACCGGTGGGAAGGGACCTGGTTTCATCAAAGCCTTGAAGGGTTACTCTAGGTTCCATGGGGGCGTGATAATTCGAACTTCCGATTTCAACGCGGCCGAATCCCCCGTAAAAATGCTTTGGTTCCCACGCAGAACGGGTATCCTTGCATTTTCACTATTGGGAGATCGTGTTTTTGCCTACAACTATACTTGAAAGTATACCTGATGCTCCTTATCAGGGCAACCTGGACTGCATGGTTGACCTTTAATGGCTTGCTTGCTCAGTGGTCAAGGGCTCGCGAGTTTTTTAGATGACCATATATCGGCTTTTTGAAAGCTTGTTTTGGACTTCTCAAAATCAGTGCTCCCTGCTTCCAGTGCCAGGAAGGTGCTTCCCTCGGATCCACATTTTTTGATGAATCATGGTCTAGCGTGTCTATCTGGCAGTGGGTCAAAATCATTGGTACCATTTTGGGGTAGGTGCACCACCCATTCTAGTCTATTTTAGTGGCTATTGGGATGTTCACTGGAGGTACGGGCTTTTCATGGCCATCTATGAAACATGTAGAACTGTGAATAGTTTTGGCGGCTTGCCCCACGCAAGTGTGATCCTCAGAGTTCCCAGGAGGCCAAGCTGAAGCACATGCCGCGGCCTCGAAGACTGCAATGGGTGCAGTGGGTCGGGGACGCACTGGGCGACTGGGCTGACCCTAAGCCCCAAACCCGACATCTCAAACCCCAAACCAAAAACAAGGCGGTGAACTGTTCAAAAATTCAGGTGCGCGGTAGAGCTATAATGTGCCATGTATCCCTTTTTGCGGTTGGCTCGCTCACGAGCAAGGATGTCCTTGGTTACACCATGACTACCTGGCAAGCCCAGCGATGAAATCGAATTTGTGTCGAGGACAATATGCTGCAGGATTGCGTGAGGAATAGCATGTTGTAGCCGTGTTTCCAAACAAGCACGTGCTTTTCGAGTTGGCCGCACAAGGGGCCGTCGCACGTGCGCTTTCCGCATGCCTTCCGAGGCGGAAGGCCATTGCGGAGCTGACGAAGGAGTGCTCCGACATGCAAAAGGACCGAGCCCGGATGGCAGTGCCAGGATGGAAGGCCCATGGAGCCCTTGAGGCCCTTGAGCCTCTTGGCGTTTTTTTTTTTTTTTTTTTTTTTTTTTTTTTTTTTTTTTTTTTTTTTTTTTTTTTTTTTTTTTTTTTTCCGGAGCGTCAAGCATCGGAATGTCCGTGAACCCCCTTTACGCGCCGGACTGGTAATGACCCGCGCGTTTTTTGTAATCACGTCGGTACCAGTCCGGTACCTTTTAGTACGATTTGCTCAGGTAGGAAGAACGCATGTTGCCAGAGTACCTCGGCCAGGACTGGATCCAGAAGCAGACGCAGCTTTTGTCCGTGTCTAGTGACACGGACAAGCTGAAGGCGTGCAAGAGTTTGGTGGCGCCCCCATGTCAGCCCCAAAAAGCTTTCCCTGAGCTGCAAGGGTCACTGGGCAACTGAGGCCAAATCCCGGTCTGATCAGGTGTCCGTCTCATTGAACATTGTGTTGATTGGGGTCAGACCTCAACTCGGCAATGTGACCACCAAGAGCGTTTCCATCATGTCCAGTAGAATCAGATTGTGCACAGAGTGGAAAAGCGGGTTCCTTGTGTGGTTCACGTTGTGCATCGCCCTTTTTAGCACCGCACCTGCACACAACAGGACGGCACTCATTGCTGACAGAAGGAGGCTCTTCTTTTGCCGTGTGAAAAAGGGGCGGGAAACAAACGCGCAGAAGTTGCCCGGCAGGGGATGCTCAACGAGAACAAGAATAAGAAGATGGTCTTGGAGCAGCCTCGCCGACGCGATTTTTTGAGATAGCTTGCTAGCGCGGCAAGCTGAGTGCGAAGGGTTCACCTATTTAGTCCTGAAGCAAAACGATCAGCCACTAAGTTTTTTTTTTGGACGATTATGCTTGGTTTAGAACCCCTTTTTATCAGAGCTGTCTTTGAAGGTTACATCGCAAGGGTGTCTCCCTCCGTTTTTGTGGAAGCCCTGCAAAGCCTGTGCACGTCATGTTTGTGAGAGGGTATTGAAGAACTCTGGTAGACTCAGCACATGTCGTGATATGGGGGTCCATGTGAGTCGAGCGAGGCATGTGCGAGGCTTTAATCCTGGATGAACCGGCGGTTTCGGGGGTGAGTCAATCCATGACTTTGTTTGAACCCTATTTCGGGAGTCATTCCATTTTTATTCCAGTTTTGAGTTCAGCACTGCTTGCGCTGGGTTTCAATGGAACACGCACGCATACGCATGGGGATGTCCGGCCAGGAAGAAGCTCCGGATCGAGGGCCAGCTGACGGGCCATGAGAAGGAGATCCGGGAGCTGGAGAATAACATGAAGCACCTCCGCCCCTTGAGGAAAACGATGGAAAACGCGGTACGCTCAACTCAACTCTGTTTGAAATTTGTAGGGGCTGCCCACATGGATGTTGAAGCAGATGACCCTGTACTTGGCCATGTTGGAAGGAACGACTTCAGGGTGGCTCAGGGTTCCTTAAAGACAACCATGCTCGAGGCAATCTCCCGGTGGGCTTGCGTGAAAAGCATTCTCTGGCAGTTTTGGCGGGAACACCCCATCGCAAGCTCAACGATCCAAAGTTTCTGGACCTGATAGTGCGTTGAACGTGTTTGAAATCCAGATAGATAGCGGCCCTAAAAGCCTTGCTGTATCGTTTCCCTCTGCGGCCGTTGGCGAACGGACTCGCTCGCTCATCGTCCCTTCGGGCGCCGAGGCTTCGACATGGACCGCATGAACGGCGCCGTGGTGAAGCACGAGGCACGGTCGGACGAGATCTCCAACTCCAACGCCATGATGGAGACGGAGTTCGTCCAGAAGCTCAAGGAGATCGAGACAAAGCGGGGACGCCCAATGGAGAAATGGATGGCGCTTGGTGGGACGACCTCTGTTTGGGGGAACAAAGGTTGGGCAAGATGCTGAAAAGGAGGGCTGTCAAGAAAAGGTCTTTGATGTGTGGAACACCAGAGGGAGCCAACCGTGCGGAAGGGGCGCACGCTTTTGCAATTCATCAAAAGTGGAAGGTGAGATTAGCCGGGATGATCGGCGGTGATGCGGACACTTGCGTGGAAGTCTGCATTCTTTTCAGCATGTCCATTCGCCTTTACCTAAGCCAAGAAGCTCTCAAGGGTGCGATGATTACCTATACGCAATTGCATGCAGTTATTGCACCTGTTGGGCACATGGTGACCAACCATTGGTTGCAGATGAGCATCAGTTTCCTCAAGGCTTGTGTGTTCCAAGCCGCCAGCTAGGTCACAAACCCATCAGGTACGTTCCGAGTGGCACTTGAGCTTGAGTCTGAAGGGAGGGGATCGATGCCTCACCGGCCAGGTGCTTGGACATGGCGACATGGCCGCATCTTTTGGTTTTTGCTCGGGAATGCATATAGGGGACTGCAGTTTGAGAGAATGGGTTTGAACCACAAGTGGGTTTTATGCTGAGAGCTATGTGTAATGAAAGCAAACCATGACTGCGCGTGGCATGCTGGCACTCTACACGGTGATCATTGCGCGGTTTGGTTGTTCTTTCACAGGCGCACCTGGCCAACGCATGGAGCTGCAGGCAAACATCCTGTGATATCCTGGTGGTTTGCTTTAAGTTTTCTTTGACAAGTATAAGTTTCTGACGTGACCCAGGAACATATTCTTAATACTGTTCACGACAGGATAGACTTTGGAATGAACAGGTAGATGCGGATTATGAGCCCTTTTTCAGACTTTGCCGCTGCTTTTCAGGCGCATCAACGTGCCGAACTGCATTTCAGCACCTGTGCGCGCATCTGAGGAGCGGGATGTAGACAGGGTGAGGATGGACAAGGACCAGATGAACCAGGACATCCTGGAGTCTGAGCGCCAGGCCAGTCCAATGGACGCCATTTTCTTCTCCCAATGTACCGATGCCCTGCAGTGGGGTCCCGTGGGATGTTGCCTTGGTGGCAACACATATTAGCTTTGAACAAGGTGAAACGCATCAAGGCTGATGAAAGATGTAACTGCAACGTTCCATCAGCTTGAGAGACAGTGACAGGGCTGCCTGGCTGTCCTTGCCCAGAGATGCGATTCTTAGCCGCCACTGCTATTTTCCAGAAAGCCCATTGCAAGGTTCTCCTTTGGGAGCGAAAGATCACCCTCGAGAAGGAGATGCCAGCGACTCAGGATGTCGACGTCGTCCTGTTGCACCAAGTTGAACCAACTTGGCCGACAGCAAGCAAACAACAGACATCAACAGACATCATATGCAGCTGAGCGTTTTGCAACGGCCAGTTGCTGTAGGTGTCGGTGCAACGTTCGATGACCAACGGTTAGATAAGTCATATGTCCAAGTAGGCTGGCAGACCGGCAGATCTTGATTGAGAACGGCAATGCCCTAGGGCATGGGGTGTCCCGGGCTACAACCTTTGGTCCTTTTGAGGCGGTAGACTGGCTCGCTTCCAATCAGCATACCTGAAGTTCCAAGCTCTCTCAAGTAACTCGTCCTGCGCGTCGACAGGCAAGCGGCTTTGGATCCCAACGTGGGTCAGGCAGGACATTTTTGGTTTTGCGGATCATAGGAGTTTTTGTGGGTCCCACTATTTGGTGGTCTCCCCTTGTTTCTTTGGGAAATGTGGGAGACGTGCCCCCTCCCCCCCCGTCTTCGTTGTGCCCCCCGCCGTCTTTGTCTCTTTCTCCAGGCCGACGCCTCGGCCATGAAGAAGGAGATCCACCGCATGGAGTTGCGGCTGGAGCAGCTGAAGCGCCGCCAGGAGCTCTCGATTCGATCGCTCGACCCGGCGTGAGCGGGGACTTCTTTGGGTCGACTCGTTTGGTTTGGTTTTGAGAGATCTTGAAGGTAACCATGGTACCATGACTTCAATTTGCTTAAGAATATGTTTTATTTTCCCCTGTTGGTTTTAAAGGGAACCTATCACTACTGGCTACTGGACATGTTTTTTTTTGTTTTTCAGGGGTCTTAACCAAATGGAAGAGATCAACTTGGTCTAAGGTGTTGGGAGATCTCAAGATTGGTCTATGGTCTATGGTTTTGTTTCAGAGATTTGGGGGTTGATCGAAAGGTGCTTTACAAAGGATGACCATTGGGAAGACCACTAAAGAGATGCCTACTTAAACTGGAAAAGTTACCCATGCCAGGAATATTGATCAACCCGCATGTTGAGGGTAATCATGGTAACCTGATGCACGAAAGGCAATTGCCTGGACAAATTTTTACCAACTCAAGAGTTGGCCAGCCAAGCAATGATCTTGGACACCCAAACGTATACACACTTCCTTTTGCGTGCCGGGGTGTTTTGGGTTCCACTTGAGAGTTGAGGTTCGCACCTGTCCTGGTCGAATTTGGTCGATTGTGATCCAGTCGATCTCCACACTTGCCCACTTTCTGGTCCAAGCGGGAAGCAACAAACTTCGAACTTGTTAAGTTCAAACTGGTTCTGCAAGCAAGGGAGTGAGAGCAACGGCAGGAGCAGATGATCGTGGAGATGGAGCGGGCCATCCTCAAGCGCGATGCCATCGCGCTGAAGCTGGAGCCCAAGGCGGTGTCTGGGAGCTTCGGGGGATTGGATTTCATGCGGTTTGGTGTTTTGGGGGTTGAAGGTTTGCTGGGATTGGATGCTTTGTTTTTTCAGTCTCTTCCTGCCATGTTTGAATGCCGCTTTTTGTTGCGTCGGTTCTGGGATGGACAATGCCAGAATTTTGCATGGATGAACCTGCGATTTTGGGTGGTTCGATTGTTTTTGTGTTCTCACAGTGCACCGTATATCCCTGTGGTTGTGCATTGATTCTCAGGGCCATACAAAAAGGCTAGCCATGATGACTGGTTTCGCAGAAAGCAAGCAGACCCAAATCCATGAGTTCTTACAGGCCCCCCCCAAGGCTGCCGAGCCTGATTCGTCCCTTCAGGCCCAGCGAAGTCCCTCCTTTTCTTGTTTCAATTGTTGAACAGCCATTGCAGCACAAAAACTGTTGAAGAGCGCGGGGGAAGCATGCATCGTCAGCCTGACCAGCTGGGAGAAGCAGGGGAACAATGTGCACATGTCGCCCCTGGACTCCGTAGGCGTTGAAATGCTGCCAACTCGCACCGATATTTTTGTCAGGTAAGCATTTCAGCACCCCTCCATTTGCCATGTTAGCAGGTTGTGGCAAGGCCTTGTAGTAGAACCCGAACTCGATGGGTTTTGGGCTGCTCAGTTGGGTTTCTTCCTTCTGCTTCTTTTTGGCACGAGTTTTGAGTTGAAACAGTCAACTCAGCGGGCACATTTTGTCAGCTTTCCTTGGTCGGCGAGAGCCATTCAGCAACATTGCTGTTTCAGGGCTGGACCCAATTGAATCGGCGTGCTGTGCAGGCCAAGAAAACCAAGCAGGCCGCGAACACGGCGAACGTGAAGCGGCAACTGCAGTCGCTCCGGAATAACCTGAAGCTCTGCAGCTCTGCGGAATAACCCAGCGCGGGGTTGCAGGGTGCCTACAATTTACATTTGCTCCAATAGACAAAGTAGAAAGTCAGACCCACCGCTTATTTGGAAGGTGCCGGGGGGTTCGAGCTCGGGTCAAATCCTGAGGCAGAGGGGGTTTGGGCGGTGCCCTTTCATGAGTTGCGTTTCCACCTGCGCTTTTGGGAAGAAAGCTAAACCTGCATGGGACATCATGGGACCATAAATCCTTCGACTTTCAAGAGTCCCCTCCCCCCATTCCGTGGAACCCTTCTCGTAAGAGAATCTCAACCAGGCAGAAGATGCCTGGGGTAGGGATGGTTCTTAATCGGGGAGTTTTTGCAGCCTTGATCAGGGGACCCTAGACGGGTTCTAAAAAGCATAGTCAAATCGCTTGCACCAAATGCCATGGTGTATCTTCGCATCGGATTTCGGGATCTTTCGTTTTAAAGAACGACAGCCAATCCGCAGAGGACTTCTTGACTTGTGGGGATGGTGATCAACCCCAAAACCGTTTGGCCAAGCATGGCCCGGAATCATCACCCCTGACTGCCTGAGGCACCCAGGCCAACGGCGACGCGGAGCAGAAGATCGTGGAGAGGCAGCGAGATCTGCAGGAGCTGCAGCAGACCATCGAGCAGACGGCCCAGGCGGGGTCGGAATGCCATGTTTTTTTTGGGCTTTTAATATGGGGGGGGGAACCCAAAAATGGGTTTTGATTGCCCATTTGCCTACTCCATTCCCGGGGTAGCTTTTCCTTTGATTTATTCCCCCACCCCACCCCAAAAAAAAGGTTGATGTCCCTTTGACTCCCTTTTGACCCACAAAAGGTGTGCCTTGTGGCCATGAGTTGAACCAATGAACTACCCTCCCAGCGTATCTAAAACCAAAGGCATTCCGCCATCAGCGTCCCCGTAGTTCTGGGTGGTTGCCAATTCAAAGTGAGCGTCTTTTGGTGGGTTGATTCTTGCCAGGGAAGATAGATGAGCAACGGTCAATATTCACCTTCATCTAACTGTAGTCAAGGGAATGACGTGGGTACAATCGCCAGATTGACACTATCAGATTCGAAGACCACAACAAGCGTTGACCTGCGTCCAGACGCGGCACCCCGTCCCATTGCCAACCCGCGCAAAGATCTAGCGCCTAGGAGTATGGCGCCCTGGAGCGGGCAAACGAGGGCCTGCGGGGCGAGGTGCAGGCCCGGTGACGGCCACGCACTTCTTTGCATTTTTATGGATTGACGCCAAGAAGCCCATCCAGGTTTGAGCCTGCTGCAGCATGCTCCTTTTGAATTCGTTGTCGTGTGTAGGATCGTTAATTTTTCGGAACAGACACATTGCTGGCCAGAATCATGTTTACGATCGAAAGAAACGTGGGTGTTGCCAAAGAGTAGGGTAAGCGCTGGCTGTTTCCCTTTGGCCGCATGGCTCTTTCGAGGTTGGCCATATTCAGAAGCAGCAGAACCTCGCCACCATCCTGAAGCTGCAGCGCGCAGCAAAGCGCCGCCTACTCAGTTGAGTTGCTAGATACTTGAGCACCTGAGCGGGAAAAACCTCCCTCCCGCAACCCAAAGACATTTTTTGGAACCTATGGTGGTAGCGTTCTGAATACTATGGTGGGGGGAGGACATTGATTGAGTTTCTGTGAGGCAACAGCCCGCTTTTGTGGCCCCATTTGAGTGTCCCAAGGGCCCCTTCATTTGACACGCTTCGGCACCTAGTCTGCCCAGACCTGGTGACTTGGGCTTCACTGGCCGTGGATGGGCTTTTTGCCAGGCTTCCTGAAACTTTCCCTTTGCTGGACCTCAGGATTTTGTTAAACAGTAGCATGGTGCCGTTAAGAGGATTTGCTTGTGTTGGCCGTCTTGCTTGCTGTTGTTGTTTTTTTTTGCCCGGTGTTGTACTGGTAGACGCCCGCTGTTTCGAGGCATGGACGAGCTGTCCATGGGCACCGGGCCGCCGCCGCCGGGGAACATCCGGCAGCAGCAGGAGGAGCAGTCCCAGCGGCTCGGACGGAGGGGTAGCGGAAGGGCCTAGGTATGGGTTCAGGGAAGAGAACGGGGAAGAATAGGTGTGGGTTGGGACAAAACGGGCTGGGTTGTTTCAAGACATTTTTTAGAGTTGAAACAGCCAACCTCCAATTTCGCTTTGAAAGAGACATGTAATTGTTGGTTACGGTTCGGGGTTGTTTTCGGGTTTGGGCACTATGCAACAGGGGTGGTTGCAACATTTGTTGAAACAAACCGCTGGTCCCCTTTGATGGGAACTCGACAGGAGGTCGTTTAGACTGCAGTGGTTCAACCATGTTTCAGCTAGCGCAAGAGCTGTTGTTGTCCGCCCCCTTGTGAACATGCACTGGTGGGGTGGGATCGGGTGGGGTAGGCAGTGTTCCAGATTTGGCGCTTTCAAGGGAGAAGCAATGGCACTCGTATTGCGGTCCAACAGAGAGTTTGCTTTTTGACATGCCGTGCAAGATGCTTTGCCTTTTTGACCTGTGTCGAGGCCTTAATTGCTCAATAGGTCGTTTGTGAGGTCCATCAAGCAATCCTAGCAGCAACAGAGACCTCTGGGCAGCTCATGGGTCCAAATTTGCCAAGGCTGAGAGCCAAGACGGAGGAGATTGTGAGGCAGGTGTTTTGTGTTTGTTCTATTTTGCCTAAGGGGAGGCTGCAAGTAGTGTTGGGCTGCCAAGGGTTGGTCATCAGCCTTGTGCTTACACAGTTCTTCACTACCAGACGTGCATATTAATATGTCTCTCGTGCGCAGGGTTCTCTCCGAAGCCTACCCACAGCTGGAGAGCCTTTGGACGGCCTTCTTCAACTGGATGGAGGTTCCCAGCTGAGGCGGCTCCGGGACGATGTGAGCACACCATGTTGCTTTGTTCGCAGCCATTGAATATGCTTGGGGTCAGCAAAGATGGCTTGCTCCAGCATATCTACCATTGAGCCGCTTGTGGCATTTGGTGAACATGCGCAGATTGGCAGGCAGGCATGCGGTTTTGGGGTGCAGCATGCCCCATGCAACGACAGTCTTGGACAAGAAAGCAGGCCTGCAGACCTGTTCTGGCTTCAGGGGCAAATCCGGTGATGGCAGGCTGCCTTGGCGCGCACCAGATCCCTTGTTCAACTCTTCATTGCCACTCTTGATCCATATAATCCAGCTGATTCCTCACTTATGTCCTCGTTGTGGGCACCTGGGAGTACTCCACTCGCCTCCAACTAGGTTGGTTTTCAATTTGTATTCTTTTTAGCCACCCTGGTACAAAGACTGGAAGAAGGGGGTCAGGACATTCATTGGGTTGGTTCCCTTTAGTTTCCCGGTGCAAGGGACCAACATTCCCTTGCTGGATGTTTGGAGCAGCCAGGAGAGCCAACTACGTCTTCGGCAGATCCTCGGGTGTGTACAGCTGCCTCGGCTGCCGTGCTCGCTCGCTTTGGCGGTCCGGCGCTATGAATTCTCACACATGGGTGTGCCCTTTTTTTTGGAGGGGGCCCCCTTTGGTTATTTTTCACAGGGAATCCACAGGAAACCAATCATTTTGCGAGCCACCCCCCTTTGTTGTGTTTGAGTTATTCCTAGGCAGGAATTGAGGTGGATTGATGGCGGACGACTGTCAGAGCTGAGCCAATTTAGCGAGAAAGATCAGTCAGAAAATAGTAGCAGTCAAGCCGGACACGCAAAGGCTGTGCCGGTCTGTGATGCAAAGTAAGTGGCCGTGGATGAACCAGTGCCATCATGACAGATGTTGACTGCAACACCTGTCTCACATCAAGAAACAAGTGTTTCACCGCGCCAGTACTTGGGGAAGAATGCGCAACAAGCGTCTCACTCGAGCATGAACAAAATGCTTCAGCTGCGGTCTACTTTCGCGCCTGTTGTCACGTGTTTCGTCTTTCCTTTTATATCACTCAATGAGTGTGTAACATTTTGGCAGGACAAACGGCTGCCCTCGAGTGAGCAATGCCCAACGCCCCCATTGGCCATTTTAGTACGTGGTTCTGCTACCTGGTTTCACGAGATGTATAACCTAAAATGGGCATGTTGGAAAAACCAAAAGTCAATTGGTTTCGGGTGCTCAAGTGGAAGTAGACTCGATCGGAACTCTTTGGCACTCCCGGCCTCTAGTGATTCGAATCAAGCGGATTGGTGATTCGGTTTCTCATTTACCCTCTACTTCAAATCCCCAAGCCGCAAATCCAAACCACGTTGCAGTGAATTGCGCAAGTGAACAGCTCAATGTCATTGTGCTCGTGATCTGAATGCGTCGAGGGACTCTCGACGTGGCACGGCCCGCGTGGCAGAATTTGTGTGGGAAGGTGCAGATGTCAGCTAGATTATTGCATGCGTTTGGTTGCAGAGTCACGGGAGTCACGCAAGTCCACCGCATCGTGTGCACCTTGGCTGCAGCACACGGTCAGAGGAGGCTCTAGGACAACGGTGGGTCTCCATGATATGGGACCATGTGGAGAAAAGAGATTGAGCGGCTCGTAGGTTCAGGCCGAGCACATAAACAAAACATGCTTCCTTATTGCTTATGCTCACGAATCGTTCTTCTTGGGAGCCTAGCTTGGAGTTCCTGTCTGTTCAGAACTGGCAACATTTTCCCAATAGAGGTTTATCCCACATTTTGTTTGGCTACATGCAGTGTATGGGGCATGAAGCATAGCTAGTCGAAAGCAAGCTTGCCACTGCGTTGTGCAGCCAATGAACAATGGCACGCCTGTGCTCAGAAGGAGCTGTGAGAGACTGCTCAGAACATTTAGATGGGGCATCGAAACAAAAGTCAGCTGGCCCACAATTGATTGTGTTTGTACGTTATGTTTCCATGTTGGTTTGGAGCTGCACTTTTTCAATCCAATTCTTCGCGCGATGAAGTTTGGAAAGGGGTTGACAAGATTTCTGGCCCTTGGCTTGCTGCTTGTACCTTTATGCAAGTCGAGGGCCTTTAACTTGCACTTCGACTTGCACTCTTCACTGTTGCTGAAGGTTCTTTAAGAGATCCTCCTTGCAATTGTTCCCATGTTGAGACTCTTTTTCCGCGTGGGTTCAGAGTTCTTTTGAGGGGATCCTCTTGTCTTTGAAACCGCTCGTAATTGTTGCCGTCGCTGGCTTTCCTGTTTGCAAGTTGAGGGTTTGATCCAAATATAGACCTTATTTATCTAGACCGTGTTCAGCCGTGCACATGGTGAACAGAAGCTGTCTTGAGCAGCTGAGCGAGGCAGTTCGAAGGCAGTTCCAGAGGTGGGCGCATCCAAGCTCCGCAGGAGGAGGAGCAAGGGGGCGGCGGAGTTGGCCCCGATTGAGGCGCAGGCCCATGTCTCTTTGTTGCCGTGGGTGTGCTAGGTAAGAGCTCCCAACATGGAAGCTGACACTCTCGGCGGCATGCTTTCGTTCGACCGCTCATAAGCCCCACTTGGAGATCGGATCACGGATCCTCGCCCTGTCTGTCAGCACGCCAGGCGCAGGCTGCACGAGGGGTGCCCGCAGGCAGGTGGAGCGCAGAGTGGGGAAGCGTTGACCCAGCTGATGGTGTTTTTCGTCTTGTGTTAGGGGGCTTGGGTTGTCAAAGCAGAGGTGCTTCGCTTGTTTTTGTGGTTGTCAAAACGAGGGAGGGCTTTTTAAGGATGGCGCCTTCTTTTGTGCCGCCTGTCAAAGAGGCTACCACTGACTCAGATCCATAGATCCTCAACAAAATGTAGGTCCTTCTCTTTGGGGATTCCTTACTTCAGAATTTGAAGATAGATGCATGCCTCGTGCTTTCCTGTGTCTCTTTGGTTTCTCAGCCTCAGCTGAGTTTGCTGAGGCGCAGAAGCCACTCTTGTAGCAGCCGACGAGGTGAGCTGCCACTATTTGAGCTCGTAGCCAAACTCCAAACCAAGGGAACTTGAAGGTGGGGGGAGATTCGCAAATGGAAGCGGCCACCCTTGTGATTCCTAGACAAAAACAGGTACATGGTGCATTCGTTCCGACCGAAATTTGGTGGCCATACTAAAGACCCAAGAAAGGCTTTTGTGAGATGTTTCCAAACCACTCCCATCTACGGCTCCTTCAAAGCAAGGGTGACGGCTTTTTCGCATGCGACGTGTGACAACCTGAGACCGATGTAAATTCACGGGAGCGTTGCTCATGATTGCGCGACAAAATGATCTCAGTTTCGCAGTCAGGTTTGGTTATTGGTCAGGCTCACCCTTCGCAACCATGGATCTCGCAGCAGCCCTCGCTAGACACGGGTCCTTAAGTTTCCCCTTGTGTGATTCAAGCATCACCTTTGGGCCATTTCACAATGCGTCTCCGTGTTTCCTCGGGGTGATATTTTTTGCGGAGCCCTATTGAAAAGACGAAAGGAGGGCTCGGGGAGCTTTTTGAGGGGATGGACATATAGGCCATATAGGGATGTATAGGGAACAATTGAAAAGCTGAGCATCCCAGCAGTTGCCGCAGGCTCTGGACATCTTCGTGCACCGGGATGGCGGAGCATGGGCTGGAGCCTTGATCTTCCGAGCTGGTGCGAAGACGCAGCCCAACCACACGGCCAAAGAGAGGGGTTGTTGTAGTTTAACTTTCCAGCTCAAGCTTCCTTGGGGAATGCACAAGGGGTGGCTGTGGTGCACAGCTCTGCTGAAAGCCTTTGACTGGCGCTCGCTATTGGCTGCAACTGCGTGTTTCACAAGCTGCGTGGAGGGCTGTCATTGCGGATGAAGAATGTGCTGAGCCTTTACAACTTGTTGTTTGAAGAGTCGGAGGACCATGCGGCCGGTCATGGCGGCCGCAGCAGAAAGCGTCACTGGAAGGACTGGCTGAGTATTTTCACAGACTCGCGCTGTTGCTTGCTCCAAAACGGCCCCCCTTTGAGGTCATCACGTCCCTGTCGCCGGCGCGGCGCCTCGAGCTGAGGCCGCGGCCATGTTAGAGGGAACGAGCCCAAGCCGAACCATCCCCAACGCCCGGAACGGCCCTTGTGACTCTTGCAGAGAGCCAGATTCACCAGCAAGAAAGGGGGGACAAACTCGGCAACGATGAGGCTTCGTTCCTTTCTTCGGGTTCCAATGTCTTGTTGCGGGTTGGTCACATGTCGTCGTAATTCGCGGCAGAGTTTCTTGGAAGCCTCCGAATTCAATGGGAAGCATGCCAGAAGCTCCTGCCAGCTCAGAAAACCTGTTGGAATTACGGTTTCGCCAGGACAAGTCTTGTTGCAGTGGCAGTTGGAAGATGAGCGAAGGACAGGTTGTAGCAGACGCTGTCAACAATGGTGCAATGTGTCAGGGCACCACGTTCAGATGGCCTGCCACCAGCAGGCATGTCCGCCGAAAGCGGGTTGGTCGCATGTTTAACGCCAGACAAATTGGAAGGTTTGGGCCTGGCCATTTCACGCTTTCCTGTCCCATCCTGCGGAAGAGTTCTACGCCACCCACAACTGCTCGACCCTTGCCATACGCCTGGAAAGGAATTATCACGACCCATTGCAGGAACTGCATCATTTCATTTTTGTACATGACATGAACAAGGGTTCGGGGTTATTTGGGGTGCTTGACTGCTTTCCACTGGCAGGCTTCGACGGCGTCATTTGGCGCTTGGATGACAAGGTGCCGCACAGGGTGGTTTATCCCAATATTCATAGGGCTTCATTCATCCCAGTTGGTTCACTGTCAGCTGAGCGGGTGTGCCCTTGCACGTTGATTTTGGTCAGTGTAGCAACTTTATCCTCCACGGCTGTGTATGTTTGGCACCCCACTTTTGGGCGGCATCTTGTCTTCGATGGGAAGACGCACAGGTGCTCGAGATGAGCGGGAAGGCGCGGCTTCAACTGATGCGCATTAAGACTGCTGTGTTGGTTGTTATTGACAGGGAGTGTACAAATATGTACTATGACAAATTAAGAAGGCGGCTTTCACATTTGCTTGCCTTAGTTTGATTTCATGTGGCCAGCTGCGAGACGACACGCAAGGAAGCTGGAGACGATCCCGACGAGGATGAGGCAGGAAACCGATTCCATCCATTCAGAAGGCAGATCATGTGTCGCCCAGCATCTTTTGCCAGCCAAACTACGCACCAACCTGTGCTAATGAAAGGCAATCATGCCGTGCCTCCCCGGTTTCGGCATCTTCAAAGCGTGGCCCACCAGCTTCGTGCCGCATTTAGGCAGTTGGCTTCCATGTGGGTTTTCTTTGAGCAGCAAGGGGGGATGTCGTTGGTCAGTTGAGTTGAGCAAAGATGGATCCCACTGGTTGCAGCTTGGTTCTAATCATGTTCCACTAGTGGCATCAATCATTTCCCAACAGTTTATTGCCCGCAAGATGGATTCAAAAACCCCAGGGGTGCGTTCATGTATTTTTCAAGAGGACACCTAGGCCAGGGGGTGTTTGATCTTCGGACGCCCGCCAGGATCGTGGCTTCGAGCAGTGCCAGGCGCGCACGGTGTCGCGGAGGCCGGGTGATTGGGTGATTTGCTGATTGGGCGACAGCCTTCCCGAGGAGGGGGGTGGGGGTGAGCACTTGATCGCATTTGCGTTTTGGCCATTCTTAGGTCAGGTTTGGTTGAACATACATCATTATTTTGCCATGTGCAGTGGAATGCATGCGTCGAACAGGGCACCTTGTTATGGTTCTCTCTCTCTCTCTCTTTCTTTTGGCCCGCCTTCGGACCCGCCTAAACAAATCGCGGCAGGTTGAAGAAGGTCAGCTCTGGCATGCGGCGCCTGCGCAGCGTGACCGAGAAGCTTGAGGCCGGCGGGCGCGATTTTCGTAGAGCAGCGGATATTCTTTTTAGTCTACTGTTTGTTTGGGGAGGACATGAGCGTGTCTTCTTGGGACAACGAGTATTTTTGTCCGGTGTTCGTGTAGGTATGAATCATTGATTGGGCCCCTTTGTTTGGTGGACATCAGTTGCATGTCCAATCATGTTGAGGGTGCCTATTGAACTTCCTAGCCATTCGTGATTTGGGCTCACAACATGACCAACCAACAGAGGCTCCCCTTCAAAATACACACGCATTTCTTCAACAATACACATCCATTTGTGCGAGCCACCATTTGCTTTCCAGTCGAGTCCTTTGGTCGGAGCTGAAGCGCACAGATATGGCCAATGTTCCTGTGGCCAGGCAGCCGAACGGCTCCTGGATTGCTGGTTCTTTTCCATGGGGCGAGCGGCCAGGCGTTCCTACGTAAAGGCAAGCACCAAGGGTGCTCAACCGTGTTTTTTTTCTTGTTTTTTTTTCGTCTTTTCTTTTCTCTCTCTCTCTCTCTCTTTCCAGGAGAAGCTCACTCGCTACAACGAGGACGTTCTTGAGGGTCTGCATGATGGAAGTTGCAGATTCGGATGAAGAGCATGTAGTTCACTCAGGGTGTTTGGAAGATTTGTGTGCCAAACATTGGACTTTAGCTTCGATTGTCGCATGTGAGTCGCATTGACTTGTCACGCTTCAGAGATGTGCAGGTTGGGCTTCGGAATCAGGGGAGTGACTGATTGGGAGAAATGTCGCGAGCTTCCCAGTGAGATGAGCCCACCCCTGGGGATTCCTAGTGACTTGCCCAGAACTTCTTGTTGGTACTTGGGATCCAAACCACATCTTTCCTTACAGTCCCAATTTGCCCAGAGACTATACCTTTTGATCAGGATAAGCTGGAGCTTGAGAAGCAGCAGCGGCGGCTGAGCAAGAGCCGGTTGCCCCGGTGGCTGTGTCCTCGTTTGCCATGTGGCTAAGTCTTTGATTCCTTTGAATGGGCGTTGGTCCTGTGTTTATGCTTGCTTTACTTGTGAACCCTTGCTAGCTCGCGAGCTGGAGTTTGCATGCGCCAGCAGCAAGTCCCCTTGCACATGCAACCAACCCATGATCTGAGCTCCCAGGTTCCCTGAGATCGCCCCCCGTTTCGAAGCCGGGCCCGGGTTGTGGCTGCGCGCTCGCAGGCCTGGAGGCGGTGGACAAGGAGCAGGCGCAGCTGCAGCGCGAGCGTTTGAAGCTGCTGGACCCGGCGGGCGTCCGGGTGGCGGGGGCCCGGGCGGAGCGGTTGGCAGAGGCAAGATGAGTTAGGTCGGCTGTTGGCGACAAAGTAATTGCCAGTGCTTCTACCTAAGTCAGATCTTCGCTGAGAGAGAAGCCGGAGAGACGAACCAGAGATTCTCCCATAACCCAACCCTTTGACACGGGCGCTTGAACATCAACTACGTTGGGCTCCTCTTCTCTGAGTTGGTGCGAGAGAAAGTTGTTGCCGGCAATCTGAATGGTTGGGTGATTGGCCAGGGTTGAGATTGTGAAATATTGCTTGCTTGATTGCACTGTGACACATTCATATCGAAGACACCGCAGCCAAAATGCCGGGCCAACCCGCACCATCTGTCAAAACAAGAGGTCAGCTTGCTGACTCGCGCATATTGCGACAGTGCTTTTTTTGTACAGGCTGCGCGTGAAGTTGGTGTTTCTGAAATAGGGACCCTCAAATTGGTCGGCGTTCTCTTGGTTCACCTACAAATACCATCCAAAAGGCTCCCAGGAAGTGCGGATACTGGCCGTGCCAAAATCCGATGGGATGCCGCACTTGTGCAAGAAAGACAGGGAATGAAAAGGAGGGGGGAGGGAAGCTTGCTCTGCCATCACCTGATGTGTGCACAATCTGCGTTTGTGATGCGTGTGGGACAATGCAAAACAGATCGTACACATGCAGAGTGGACAGTCTGCTTGGCCCATTGAGTCCTTGTTTTTGGCGCCTGCTCTGTTTGATTCATACAGAGGGGCCACTCAGGTTTGGAACATGGCCGTTCTTTGCAGGATGACCAGGAGAAGCTCGCCGCTGAGCGGCTGCGCTTTGAGGAAGAGGCCATAGCTCCACCTGAGAGTAGCGTTCCAGATAAGGTTGATCCGATCATTCCGAGTTCTTTTCTCCCATCCTGTTGAGCAACTGAGGTGCCCAGGGCATTCGGCCACGTGAAAAACGCATCCTTTGAATGGGGGAAGTACAGTTGGCCGCATTTGCATCAGTAATTCAACAATGGCTGCTTGCTGATCCTATCTTCCACCAGGCCCCACCAGGCCCCATGATGCACAGCAATACCTTTGAACTCAGAAAGGTGTGTCCTTTTGGAGGTAGAAAAGCTGTACCCAATGCAACTGAGTTGTCCTCAATGAATGCCCATGGATGTGCTGAGCCCTGCCATGTTTGGCCGCGAGGTGAGGCAAACCACCTTGGACTTGGCGCAAAGCCGGCGAGCGCCGGGCTCCCAGCTGAACCTTGGAGCGGACTCTGAATGTATCGTTTGAGCTACTAGGAGAGAAGTCCCAACCACAAATACATTCAAGTCAGGACGGTTTTATAATGACTCATGTGAAGTTTGTTGCCACACTTCCTGGATATTTTTACTAGCTGCGCGTGGACTTTGTTGTATGTCGCTTACACTTGAGCTGAAGCATAGGTGTCTTTACTCATGGATCGTGTCACTGACTCTGCTGGCAAGGAAACTTCAACTCTGATCCGTTTGCGATGCAGACATCTGACAGATCGTAAACTTCAGGGTGGTAACCGTCCCTGGTCAGCGTTTGCCTGCTTGTTGGAGTTCCCCAGCGTGTACCTGGGAGGCTTTCTTGTATGTGTCAGGCATCACGCTGGGCACACGCCTTATAGCCTAAAACGTTTCTTGTCGTTCGTGACCCTGAGAATCCATAGGGACAAAATCATATGGTACCGGGCCTTTCGCACACTTTGGAACATAGTCAGGGGGGCTGCAGATGAATCGGTACTGGGGGAGTACTCTACCATTTTTAGCGTCGCAGATGATGCGCTTTTTGGGGGTCGCAGACGACATGGGAGCCAGCTCGCTGGGAGAGTGTCTCATTTCAACAGACAATCGCGGTCGGTCACTCTTTTTCTTTCTTTGTTTCTTTCTTTCTTTCTTCCTTCCTTCCTTCCTTTCTTTCTATCTTTCTCTCTCTCGCTCTAGATGACCCCTCCAGCCAAACTCACGCCTGATTACCAATCCCACAATCACCAGTCGCTTGCTGTCTTGGACGGTGTTTGATCACGGCTTCCGAATCCACGCCCCAGAAGAAACAGGTGCAAAGATTGCTTCGGAGAAGGAGGAAGTACCACATCGCACATGAAGCCTAGGCAGAGAGTAGCTGCATGGTTTTTTGGTTGCCCTCAGATTCGGAAGCCACTTTTAAGTCCTCATTGGCATCATGCGCGCGCAACACATATGTGTGTGTGTGTGTGGGTGCGTGCGTGCGTGCGTGCGTGCGTGCGTGCGTGCGTGCGAGCGTGCGTGCGTGCGTGCGTGCGTGCGTGCGTGCGTGCGTGCGTGCGTGCGTGCGTGCGTGCGTGCGTGCGTGCGTGCGTGCGTGCGTGCGTGCGTGCGTGCGTGCGTGCGTGCGTGCGTGCGTGCGTGCGTGCGTGCGTGCGTGCGTGCGTGCGTGCGTGCGTGCGTGCGTGCGAGCGTGCGTGCGTGCGTGCGTGCGTGCGTGCGTGCGTGCGTGCGTGCGTGCGTGCGTGCGTGCGTGCGTGCGTGCGTGTGTGTGTGTGTGTGTGTGTGTGTGTGTGTGTGTGTGTGTGTGTGTGTGTGTGTGTGTGTGTGTGTGTGTGTGTGTGTGTGTGTGTGTGTGTGTGTGTGTGTGTGTGTGTGTGTGTGTGTGTGTGTGTGTGTGTGTGTGTGTGTGTGTGTGTGTGTGTGTGTGTGTGTGTGTGTGTGTGTGTGTGTGTGTGTGTGTGTGTGTGTGTGTGTGTGTGTGTGTGTGTGTGTGTGTGTGTGTGTGTGTGTGTGTGTGTGTGTGTGTGTGTGTGTGTGTGTGTGTGTGTGTGTGTGTGTGTGTGTGTGTCTGTGTGTCTGTGTGTCTGTGTGTGCTATTTTCCGTTGGCGAAGTGTAAACTCAATTTGTGCGGGCGAGCCAAACTTGGAGCATTTGGGGTCCTCCTTGTGATGCTAGGCTCTCAGCAGGGCAGTTCACGGTTCTGCCGCCGCACGTCCTCTTCTTGGCAGCACAGGCTCGACTTGCAGCCGAGCACAACCCCGAAAATACAGGGATTGGATTTGGTCTCTGGTTTAGGGGTGCTATCGAAAACTCGCCCCACCATCGGCTCTGAGCTCTCTCGCCTCTCCCGGAGCCCCAAATTTGTGTTTTTGCCTCACCAGGACGAGTTCGTGCGGGCAACACCGGAGCTTTGTGCGCAGGACGAGGCTTGGGCAAGGATTGGAGCTGCCACGCTTCTGGACAGGAGCATGGTATATCCCAGACAAGCACAAGGGAAGATCAACAAGACCAGTGCCGAAGAATTGAGGTCAGCACTGGCTTTTTACCATGCTGAGCTATAAAAATGCCGACTAGTACCGAGAGCGAGCCTCTCTGTCTTGCAGCCCATTGGCATTGGCCCAGTGAAACATGGCTTGGAGTGCAGCTGGCAAGCGCACGCCGCGCAGGCAGCAATGGCTGCCATGCGGGGCAAGCCGGAGGCAGAGCGGGAGCTTTGCTTCGGCCGCTTCCAATCGGCGCTGGCCCGGTTCATATCGTCATCAATGTCAGGAGTTGCGCGACGCAGCAGCTGCCAAATCATTGCAAAGACACGCCCGCCTTCTGTGTTTTGTGCTAGGTATCATAGTATGGCGACGTTCAACATGCCTCTTGTTTCAGTGTATAAGAGATCTACATATTTTGCAAATGTTGCTTTTGGGCCCGGACTGGTTTGTTGCTTAGAAGCTCCATGGATTTGTCGCCGGTCTTGGCAGACTCCTGTCTTGTTGGAAGGGCACCTGTGCACTGTTCTGGGGGTATGGACCACGCTAGTAGATAATTTGTAATTCTTATCTCATATAGCGTGTGGGGTCTCTAGGGATACTCGCCTTCGTCTTGGGATATCCTGATGTTGCCCATCGCCATCTCAATGTGCTTGTCTTTTTTTGGGGGCAAGGCAAAGGAAGAAAGTCGACACATTTTTGTTTTTAGGCGGCCTTCTTCAATGCCTGCCAAGCCTTCTTGGCTGGCAAGGGTGCAGGCTCGGAAGGGTTGGGAAAGGAAGCGGTGTCGGGCAATGCGACTGGGCCTTCCAGCCGAGTAGTTGTGCTGCAGTTGTTCGGAGACGTTTGCTTTTCCAAACCACAGCTCATGGCCAGACTTGTGCACGGCCAACGATCCCTCCTTTTAACAAGTCACTACATCCCTTCCCCCTGTACATTGAAGGGTTCTCCCGCCACTCAAAATCTGCCTTGATAGCCCAGCAATGGAATGACCTCGGCCAACTGCTTCCTGCCAGCGTGGCCCGCGAGTTCTGCTTGGCTAACAGCATTTCACAAAACCCAGGGTCGCAACTCAATCCAATAGCTCTGCCCTTCTCGCAAGTTTTGTCCTAAATTTAAAGCGTAGCAGAAGCTCGCAAATTGATCCGTGTGACGTGTGTGTGTGTGTGTGTGTGTTTTGTTTGTTTGTTTGTTTGCTTGCTTGCTTGCTTGCTTGCTTGTTTGTTTGTTTGTTTGTGTCTGACTCAGGCCCATGGTGAATGGCAGGTTTTCAGATTTCACATGTCCAGCCATTCTGTCTGTGACGAATGGCGGTGTAGTTCGAAGCTCCGATCTTTTCAGGCCAGGGCTCAACTCTTCCAGTCGAGTTGCTCGCGCCTGGCAAAGCGCCCGTCCAGGCGCCGATGCATTGGTGACGGCCAGGGTGCCCCAGAGCTGGGACCCATGGGCCCATGGGCTCGCTCGGAGAGGGCAGGCTCCAAGCCCATGGGTCCGCTTCCGGGATCGCTGGCAATGTGCGCGTTGTTTCGTGGAGATGGGTGTCTTTCCATGCCAGGCGCGAGGAAAACGGCACATTGTGGCAATCGATTTGGACAAGCAACAAACTCCCTCAGGATTACGATGAGCCCAGCTATGAAGCTCCTTACCGAGGGGTGGGGGTCCTTTTTTGATCCAGAGGTCTCGCTTCTTTGGGTGCCAGCGCCTTGGGCATATGAGGCACTACTGGCCTTCCAATGCCTGGTGGATGCCAAGGCAGCAGATGCTGAGCTGTCAAAGGAGGGGTCCTTGTAAAACTACCTTTTGCTAAGTTTTGATGGCTTGAGTATCATCTTTTGCGCCAACTTTACTTGATCTTTTCAAGGATGCCCAATGTTTGCGCTGCGAAACGAGGAGCCCTCTTCTGGACGGTATTCAAAGGTCAACCCAGCCGAGATGTCCTTGATCGTGAGACACACCTCGAGTCACAACGCTGCTCAGGCAATCTCATTCCCCCAAGCTGTGGCAGGCCTTTCGAAGGGGCCCTTGCACACCATTCCGACTTGGAGATCCACCTTCTCGCCCGCGCTTACCGCGCACCTGTGAAGGGGAACGCCCAAAAGTCGGCGGACACAAATCCCCATGTCAATAACCTTCACCAAATTGGTCAACAATTTTTATGCCAGGCTCCCAAAGCCGGGCAGATGCTGGAGCAGCTGGCGGGCCTATCACAGGTGCGATTCAAAACCCCCACTGTTTCCGAAGGTAAAGGAGTTCGTTGTTTGGTTTTCCCCGTGATATGGGAACAAAGCTTCACCGACTTGAGGAATTTTCGGAGGGCGGAGGTTTCACGCCCGCGCCCAGACAATCCCCTTGCCAGAGGGCTTCTGGGACGATTCATGAAGACATGATGTGATGCGAGTCAAATCCGCTGCAAGACACCACGCCATCCAGCTTTGAATACGTGTTTATTATGAGACTGTAAACTATGTGCTTGCCTTTGTCCACTGTGCTTTGCCAAAAATACGCAAGACATGCATTTTAGCGGTGGGGCAGGCGGTGGCGCGCGCGGCCAACTCGGGTGGCTTGCCGCTTGGTTGCCGCGCTAAAGCAAGAGAGCAGTCACGACCTCTTGCAAGCAGGTTGGGGTGTCAATTCAAGCAAGGGAAGCACCTCATGGATTCGCAGTTTTGGGAGTGTTCACCGGACAGCACACGAGCAGCAACAAATCACTACTGTTTCAGGACACCGCAACGCATTGGCCAGCTGGAGGATACCCAACAGCCAATGAGTGGCCCACGCTTCGGGATGTGGTCAAGCAGCAGCACATGCGATCAAACAAGGTCGAGTGCAATCTTGAATCAGACTCCCTCTTTTTGATTGCCGTATCTGCAAACTATTTTGTGGCGCTCAGCAGGAGAATATACAGAAAACAAGACATATATAAACGACATATTGTGCATTTTTTTTTGGTATGCATTGCTTGTGTCGCTCTCTCGGAAGGAAAGGCCTTGGGACGTGCCCAGGTCGTTTGCGGCTCTCCTTTGGGGCTGCCACCTGCACACTTTGGCCCGGTGCTTGGGCGCAGGAGGCCTTCCCGGATGGGAAGGTCATGATGTAGGGATTGGCCATGGATTCTTAAAACAGATGTCCTCTGGATTGTTCGGAAAATAGCAGTCCCCAAACAATTTTAAAACTGTGTTGTTTCCGTTTGGCCACCCTCTGAATACCAACCAAAATCGGGGGTTCGCAGATTTCTGATGATTTTTGCACCACTTCCTTCCCGGCAGAACATGCCTATGTGTTTGTCCAGGTGCAGCATGCAGCTGTCTGAACAGCTGTCCCGGAGGTGGGAGGAGGCGCGGAAGACGGGCACAGGTAGCCTACCAAAGTGAAGAAACCCCAACGGACACCAACAAAAATGAAGAAACCCCACCGACGGATACCCCTTCTAAATCGTTCACAGGTTTGCAAATCCTGGGAATCCATGAATTGAACGCGGGCAAGTCCATTTTGATGGCTGTCAGGGGCGTGTCAGATTTGGCAGTTCAGGCGAGCTCCTTGCAGTGTCCTGTTTTACTTCCGATCCTTTCATGGAAGGTTCTTCTTTCAGGTCTTGGAATCTCAACGTATCTAAAGCTGTCAGAGCCTGCGAACTCATCGCACAGGTGAACGCGTCGGAGGCCATGCAGGCCGTTTGGGACTTTTGGGTGGCCAGTGGGCATCATGTCACCTGGGGATCAAGAGATGCTGAGGTCCACAGGCACTGAAGAATTCCCAGCCTTGCCGCACGGTGGTCACACAGGCGGCGTGCTAATCCCACGAAATCGTGAAACTGTCCAGGACTTGGCCATCGAGGAGCAGGACTGGAGTCCGAAACTTAGACATTGACGTTTCGGCACGATGTGACTGGTTTGGTCGTTGTCGCGTTTCCTCCGTGGAGCACCCGGGTGCACTCGCTGAGAGCATTTTTGCCGGGGGCGATGCGCGGTGGGCAACATGTTTGACGGCCCGATGCAGATCTTGGCGAAGAGTGCCTGGCCATCGGGTGATCCTGCACGCCCAACTGCACGGACCCACCCATGCAACCATGCAACCACTTGCACAACTAGGCGCTTGCTCACGAGCACATTCACGCGCAAGCACGCATGACACACACACACACACACTTGATATGAGACGGCAAAAGCTGACAATGTGCACCACCATGCAGGTACAGGCTGTTTGAAGGTCTCCGGCAGGGCAATGGAGTTTCGGCACCGAGGAAGTCTAGACATCTTTCGCTAACGCACTCTCCTCTTCCGGACCGCCAGCAGTGCGTTAGTTACTCCATGCTAGATCGTCCAAGGCGGTGGCGGCCGACTCCAATAAAGAGAAAAACGCGACCGAAGAACCCCTTAGGAACAGGGGGGCCACACACACACCCCCCGCAGGGGGAAGAAAAACCGAAACGCCTAAAAGCCGCCTCCATCATGATTGTCGATGGGTAGTTTAGACTGTTGGCAGAACTCCTGCCTAACTGCTCACGATCATTTTACCATGTAGCATCGCCGTCCGAGCTCAGGTGCATTGGTTCGAGATGGTCGCTTTCTGGTGCTGCTCCTTCAACTTTCTGAGACGTTCCAGGCTCCTCCAGCGCTGCGTGACATCCGCAATGGACCTGTTGAGCTTCTTGGCCAGCGATTTGTACAAGTACTTGGACCGGTTGTCCGCTTTCAGGCTGCAAAGCTGCTGGTCATCTTCCTCTGTCCAGGCGCGAGGTACCTCCGGGGGAGTTCCTGGATTGCCAGCATCGGAGTGAGCACGGGCAGGGGCTTCAGGAAGGGATTCAGGAGAGGAGAATGGGCCCACGCAAGGAGATACTGGAGCTGGCGCTGGAGTGCGAGGTACTGGACGTGCTGGAGGCTCCGGGGAGTGCGTCCTCTCGGAGGATGTAGCACGGCATCGCTTCCGCTTCGTTCTGCGCCGATCGGTCCCACCCTTGTCCATGATGGAGCTGGGAACATTGGCCTTCTTGATGCTCGGCTGACCGACATGGGTGTGCGCCATGGAGCTCTTCGGGCGTGGGTCTATAGCCTCGTTGGCGTCCCCCGTGACGACGCCGTAGGACAGCGACTTGGGGTTAACCACTGCGTTGTGCTGGTGGTCCACGTGTAGCTGGAGTGACTGAAAGCCGGCTAGCGGTGGAGGGTCAGCCAGATCCTCCGAGTTGACCGAATGCCGAATCCCGGGGCCAGGTGGTTCTACCTCATCGAGTCGGGCATGGTCATGTGCTCTCGGTCGCAATGATTCTGCCAGCGATAGACCTCGGACATGATGATGCCGCACGCCATCGTGCCCGCCATGAATCCTGCGACTGTGTGCCTCGTCAGCCTGATTCAAGGTCTCCTGGATGAGCTGCATCATGTCCGCAGCGTTCTGGGTCATCCGGTGGTGGAGTGCAATCATGCGTCCGAGCATGACGACCGCGTTCCGATGTCGGCGAAAAGGCCCACGTCTTGAACCGCCAGATAAGCTCCGTGATGAACCCACGAGTCAAGGGGCCCCGGAACTCAAACAGAAAAACCAAGCCCAACAGCCCAACCGAGCCCGACCCCGTTTGGAAAAGGACCGAACCGAACAGAACCAGCAAGGGCCACGCAGCCGAACCTCAAGAAACAACGACAATCAGTACATAAACATTCTTTCCGGTCGGGATGGCCGGAAGATGAAACAGGTGCTGCAGATCCGCTGACTTGTAGCCGGCGGACAAATAGATACTGCGAAGCTGATCCAACGCCATCTGTACTGCCCGTGCTGGGCGCGCATACTTGGTGGCGAGAGCTGACCGTGATCTAGCCCCGGAGAGAAGGGTGGAAAGACTTCTACCTGTTCCAACACGATGGGTGCACCATAAAAGTCAGCGTGAAGCAAAGCCTCCAATGGGGCTGCTGGGTGACCGGAAGCCGGAGACGGGAAGAATCTGTTGTCGACATATCGCTCCAAGAAGATGTTGTGGCTGGCGAACCATTGTCCGTAAATACGCTGCCAGAGGACTTCGTGCCGCGCGACGCAAATGTGGCTCAGCTGAGAGCCAATCGCTGTTCCGTGGACTTGGCGAAGGATGAGAGTTCCCACCTGGACGTACATGCATTGGAAGCTGGATTTGACTATATCCAGGATGTCTTCCACATAAATGACCCGCGTAGTGGGCGTGCGTCCGTAGGATTGCTTACCCGCAAAGACCCGGTTGTAGTGGACCGCCGCCTGAGTTTCCACCGAATAGATGAGACCAGCATGCTCTCGCCGGTGCTCTGCTAATAGCTGCTCAACTGCTGCGCACACCTGATCCTGAGGGACACTGTTGAAGAAGCCGACCAAGTCATCGTTGTGAAATGCGAGAGGGACTGTGTCGTCTGTGTTGTCAAAGTATTGTTTGACGTTCTGCCATATCCTCGGCGTGGGGTGTACCCCCCACGAACACTTCCATGTGATCGCGGCGATCTTGCCGAGAAGGATCGCAACCGCTTTGAAGAGCTGCCGGTGCACCACCTTATGGTAGGCTATAATAGTTCGCCCCGATTTCCATTGCTTCTTACGTTTGAGAAAGACCTTGCCGACCGGGATCGCGGTGGCCTTCTTCCTGTACGCCCATTTGTACCTCTTCTGCAGGTGCCGGGGGATAGCTTCAACAATAAGAGCCTCGGCCTGGTCGGGCTTCAGCGGAGTGGCGGCAAATGTGCCGGACTGAAGCCAAGTGTTGTGGAGGCCTTTGAAGTAGAGTTGGGGGCAGAAGAACATGAGGTGGTGGTTGTCATGGTCCTCGTTATGGCGCACAAAGTCCTGGCCGAGGTGTCGATGCAGGATGTTCAGCTGGTGCTTGGTGAGAAGTTGATGGGTGGATGCGTGTTGCCGGTGTTTCAGAAATTCACTGCGTAGGTGCTGCATGAGGGGTGCGTGAAGCTGGTCCAGGGGCAGGCCATGGTGCAGGCACCATTTTCGTAGGCGTTCATGAACCTGCACTTCGTAGACTGACAGGTCCACATAATATGACGCCAAGGCTGAGGTGTAATGGACGTGCTGTGGAGTTCCGGGAAACCGGAACTCATCCAATCCCGCGGCCACATGGCTTGAACATGAGATAGCCAGGGCTGCCGTTTTAGCCAGGCTGCGCACTGACACGATGATGGTCCTGCGGATGTAAGGAGGTAGCAGTCCTGAAACGACGAAAAGTTCCACATGACTGTATGAACTCGAGGATGAGGGGTCTCCGCCAACTTCGTGCTGGGTAAATGGAATGGAAGAGCCCAGTTGCGATGGTCGAGAACAAGCCGACGAAGGACTTCCCTGGTGGACCCCTGATAATGGGGATGAGAAAGCCACGGTAACCGCAACAGCAAGTTGATCTTGGGTTGTTGGAGTTGCCGGAAATCAAGAACTCTTCGCAAAATATTCCGAACTCGATGCCGATGGGGCTGTTCCACATTGCCTGACAGCCTGTATATAGCATATATATCCAAGTCTGAGCGCCGTCCACTACGAAGTCGTTTTTCCTCCTCCCAGGATTCAATGTGCTCCGAGGTGAGGCGAGCAATGATGGACCAGGCTTGGGTGTGCTTGAGCGCCACCCGATGGAAGTTCCTGCCATAGACTGTACAACTCCTCCTGCGCAAGCGGAGGAAAAGGCGTTTGCCAAACAGGGCTGTTCAGCGAGAAACCTGGTAGCCGTGTAGCCGGTGGAAATGCGCTTGTACCTCCGATAGATGTAGGGCCAATTGAGGGACGGCTGATAGATACTGATCAAGGCGTGTTCCTGGGTCCAGGTGACGGTATGGTCGGAGTCTGTGAAGATAACCCATGTAGCAAACTCGTCATAGTTGCCAAAATGATGCCACCATCTGAGGGCCGGCTCCGCGTTAATAAACTGTCCGTGCTGAATACCCAGTAACTTGGCCCTACGATTGTGTTCTCGACTGGGATAAGTGATGCTGGTGCTTCCAATGTATACGTCCGACTGCGGGTTGACGGAGCGTGGAAGGTCCGGGCGGAGTTCGACTCGCTGCTTCCAGTACACTGCGTTGGGCTGCAAGAAGTGGGTGAAGGTGTACATGTTCGGGTGAATGCGTAAACGCCGGAGTCGGCGCCTGAGCTCCGTGAGTGCGTGCGTGGGACGACCGTAGTGATGAACCATCAGCAGCGTGGACATCGACTCGGACCACATAGACAGTTGCTTGTTGACCATCGGCATGTTGAGGATTTGGCGACTCGTGACGATGATCAGATAGAGGACCTGATAATACTGGTGGGCTGCATGCACATCGAGGGAGTCCCCGAGTCTGATTGCAATAAGCGCAACGATGTAAGGAAGGAAATAATCGGTGCCATGCTGCAGGCTCACTGGCCAAGACGGCTCAGGAATACCATAGTGTCTGGCTGCACTGTAAAGCTCCGACCGGGCATACTTGCTGTATAGTTGCAAAAGAAAAACCGTTTCTGGAGATTGAATGACCGGCATGGCTTAGCCATGCATCCAACGCTCGAGCACTGAACGGTTGATTGGGTCAACAGGAAAAACGGAAAAACGGAAAAAACCCCGGAAAAAAACAACCCACGTCCCCGAGAACCTACAGGAACACGAAAAGGGTAAAAGGCCGCTGATGGTCTCAGGGCAAGGTGCAGGCGTGAGGAGCAGCGGGCTTTTCATACCAGTCGTATCGATGGTGCTAACTTCCTTCCTCGTGAGCGCTACCGTCACTCCCCTCACTTGCCACACATGTACATCACCGTGATGAACTGCAGGAGTGCTGTTGACCTTTGGGGTTCCCTTGACGTAGAAGGTCCGAGTCTAGAGTGACATCCGGGGGAGCCGCCGGGGTCTTTCTCTTTGCTGGTCGTCGCTTAGGGGCTGGATCAGCCTCTGGAGATGGAACTGGTAGGGGAGGTCCTGGCTGATCTGAATTGGCCGCATTGATGTAGAGGGACTGGTCGGAGCGGCCGGGCGTGGGGGTCCAGGACGCGGCATTGGAAGGGGACGAGGATGGCAGCTTCTTATCCGGTGTAAGAGTGATGCCCTTGCTCTTGTAGCGCTCCAGCTGTTGCTCCAATTCGGCAATTTTGTGGCGAGTGAGGTTCTCCTGCTTGGCGGGCTGCAAGGACTCCATGAGATCCACGATTTTGATTGCAAGTGGCTCCATAAACTGCATGGCCTCATTGCGTTTGTCCGGCGCATTGTCCACGTGGAGAGAGCGAGCTGTCCTGTCGATGTCGACCTCCCTGCCTCTCAATGCTTTGAGAATGGATGTCAATAAGACTGCCTCGGCTATCGTCTGAGCCATGACTGGTGTGCTGTAGCGGCCATTTGACAGTGCTCGTAATGCGTGATCTTCTGCTCCTCCTCGAAGAAGTCGCGTGAGTGGAAGATCCAGGATAGCTGTTCCTGCGAGCCCGACTCTTCTGGACCACTGAGTGGGCTGAACGTGACGGTATAGCTGCAGACCACGGACCTCCGTCTTGTCTAGGAAGATGTCGTCAGATTGGAAGGTGCTGGGAAGTAGCTGCGAATATCGAGGCTGAGTGTATTGCGTTGCATCACCCTGGCCTAGAGGTGCCCGAACTGGAGGTTGAACTGGCGGTGCGGGTGGTGGAGGACGAGGACCTGTCTGCATGTGGCTTGTTCCACCACCGTGATAGTTGTAAAATTGACCGGGTGGTTGAGGAGGGAACTGATGAGCCATCTGTGGGGGCCGAGGGGGATTGACGCGGGACGGTGCTTCTTCGCGAAGTTGATGTTGCAATGGTTCCGTCCGATTGGAGCTGAGATATGCCTCCTGCTGGGGCTGCGGAACTGACCATGACGGAAGATACGAGGGTCCCGGATGCGAAGAGGAAGAAGGTGCCGATGCCGCCGGCCATGAATAGCTCCACTGAGAAGCCATCACGAGATAGGAGGTTGCCGGCCACACTGCTAATGGGTTAAACGCTAGGGGTACGCCACACGTTTCCGAGACAACAACCATTGCCAAAACGACACCCGAATTCCGACCGGGCCCGGGACAGTAAGAGACCAAAAACCGCGTTAGCTACACAAAGCTTCAAAAAAGGAACCCTGCAGTAAGGTGAGCGCATGCTTGGATGAGGCTCTGGCGTGCATGCTTTTTGTCGCAAAATATCGTCGGTAGTCGAAGACGGCAGTGTGGCGAAGTATGCTCTTATTCGCAATGAAACATCATTAATTGTCAATGGCTACAACAGCTCCTGGTGCAGGTTCACGAGCGGAGGACACCAGTGGGTGGTTTTGCATCGGTGGGCCATGCGAGTCCAACGATCTGGCTTGCCTCCGGGATCACCATCCAACACTTGCCCGACACATAGTGGATGACATCAGGACGTTCACTGGAGTCCAGGGCCTCAATGCAAGCTTGCTCTCCTCCCGATCGAATCGGCTGACAGGTGCCAACAGCGCGTCCGAACAACAGCAATTGAGCCATGTTAAAAGACATGCTCCAGTTCTGGCTCATCGTGCGAGCGATTTCTTCAGCGTCGTAGTCGGCGTGTCCAGTGATCTTCCAGCCCTGGGCATAAAAGGCTGGGCACTCCGAGGAGTGCTGCCGGGAAGGATGGATCTGTCGGCTCCGCAGGATGCCGCGAGTACCTCCAACACTGGAAGCGTGAGTCCAGAGCAGCATGGGTCGCGTCTTCGTCGGTTCTTTGAGCCGGACTGTGGCCCCAAGATAAGGGACGGTCAGCATGAACCAGTGCGGGGTGATCTTATAAAAATGATGATCCGGGTTGACCTTCGCATAGTTCAGGGTGGAGTGCTGAGACGGTATGCCTGCTGCATTCAAGGTCGCGGCCACATAGCTCATCTGCTCCTGATTGACTGGGATCCCATCACGAAGATATGGTGCGGCCAGCACCTGAAGTTCGTTCCTCCAGGGATCAGACTCCGGGTTGGGAAGCAAGACCAGCGGTGGATGTGCCTGCGGATTGGGGCGTAGTTGCATGCTCCTCAAGGACGACCCCGCATCCGGGTGAGCTCCTGCGGCCTTGGAGGCTGGAGCTGAAGGGGCACTGCTTCTGCTACGCGGAAGGGGAGATCGATTGCTTCTCGGTCGTCGGGATGAAGCTTTAGTTGCCGTAGGTGCCCGGGATGAGGACTTGGCTGCTGTGGGCGCCGGCGCGGTAGCATTCGATGCTGCCGTCATGGTGTTGTCCGATGTTGATTCCTTCGGGAGATCGGAGGTGGCGTCCGGGAGCGAGCTCGTCGCCGCTGTGGGGGCACTGACTTGGAGTAGGGGGAAGCGTTGTGGGAACGTGACCGGTCTCCTTCCGTCGTGTGGCGTGACCTGGATGGTGGGTTGGGCGGTGGAAGCATCTGACCTGATGGAGTTGCCGTAGGGATCGGTGCGATAGGGGTCGGTGCTGTGGGCATAGGTGGGCATGCTGTAGTTGAAACTGTCGGGGTAGTTGGCGTCATCGGAGTCATTGGTGTCATCGGTGTGGCCGGGCGTGCTTTCACCAGGATTTGTGGCAGTGGGCCAGCTACAGATGCAGGCCAAACCTCCAAGGTAGGGATCGATGCCGAGGCGTCTCCGGGAGCAGGAGCCGGGACCGCTGCTTTGGCAGCCCTTGAGGCGTTGGACACCTCGCAAGATATGCTAGAAGCTGGTGTCACAAGCGTACTCCTGCTTGGTGATGCTGACCGGTGCACCGGAGACCTGGGCGGCGTAGGGCCGGCAGTGTTCCTGGATGCCTTGGCCATGGGGCCTGCCGAGTTCGACATCGGACCTGCGTGGGGGCGAGACATCTATTGCCAACAATTGCGAGCCAAGAGCAAGCTGACGGCGTCGTGATTTTCCACCTGATGTGTCGGGTAGTCGGATTGGTTGTCAAACAGTTGGTCTGACAGAAACGGTTCACGGAAACAGTCTGGGGTGCCGGAAGGTCTGGGAGAAGTCCAAGCCTGTATTGATAAGATCAGCTGGAACAGTCAAGCGTCACGAGCGACAAGGTCCGGTAACAGTCTGTAGAAAATGTCTGTGCATGAGTCGGAACAGATGCCCACAACAGGGATCAAGACACTGACCGAAGCCCGGACGCAGTGCCTAAACACACTTGATATGAGACGGCAAAAGCTGACAATGTGCACCACCATGCAGGTACAGGCTGTTTGAAGGTCTCCGGCAGGGCAATGGAGTTTCGGCACCGAGGAAGTCTAGACACTTTCGCTAACGCACTCTCCTCTTCCGGACCGCCAGCAGTGCGTTAGTTACTCCATGCTAGATCGTCCAAGGCGGTGGCGGCCGACTCCAATAAAGAGGAAAACGCGACCGAAGAACCCCTTAGGAACAGGGGGGCCACACACACACACACACACACACCCGCGCGCGCGCGCGCGCGCGCGCACACACACACACACACACACACACACACACACACACACACACAGAGCCACACCAAAGTCTTCTGTCAGTTGCCATTTGCCTCCAAGGCCTGATCGTCAAGCGCATCAGGCACCTGTCTTCAGCTGGCTCGCATCTCAGAGAAACAATCTCTGCGGACAGAAGGGGAGTCGTCGTGTTGGCACCTCAGGTAAGTGTCAGGTAAGTGTCAGGTAAGTGTCAGGATTCCCTCACGGGCCTCCAATTCCTCCAAAACTTTTATCCGGCTCTCCCAGGTTCAGCGCTCAAGCGACCGCTGCGGAGCCTGCCGGACTACTGGGACCACAGGCGGGGCCCGTGGCCGCCAGTTGGTGGGCCCAGTAAGCCACACATTGCACCAGACCGTGGAAGGTGCACAAGTCTTGCCTGCCAACATCAACTGTCTGTCCCAGATTCGTTTCTTCCAGGCAACTCCCCTGGCCAACAAAGGGTTTATGATTTGTTTGAGAACGTAAGCTCTCACCTCAGAGGGCGGGCGCGAGCCAGGCGGCGCTTCATTCGGTGCTTGGCAAAGCCAGGCCTGAGGGACCAGGAGGGCTGCTCTTCAAGAGGGTGGGGCGTCAAAGATGGGGACAAAATGCGACAACCTTTTTTGGAGCTGCATTGCAATTAATATAAGGTTGATGACCCTTATTTGAGGCCCTGCCCTTTGAAACCAAGGTCCGATTTGTTGACACGCCACGTGAAGAGTTACCAAATGGCATTTTAATGTACTAGTGATAATTTTAGCGCGTTTTTTCCAAGAGCCATTGAATATCCCCCCTGCAGGACCTTCTGCCTTCCGCCTTGCCCGGTGTGCCCTGAGTGACCCAACACAACCCGAGGCGGTGCCAGCGAGGAGGACCTCCGCTTGCCGCATCCTCGGAATGCTACGGTGGGTCACGGAAATGGGAATTGGATCAAAACGTCCCAACTTTCCATTTGCCGAACTGGATATTTTGCTCTTTTTTTTCTCCCTTGTTGGTTTTAACCGGAATCTATGTTAATCCTCAACAAATGGAAGCAACCATTCCAGAGAGGATCCATTTCTGGTTGCCCGAGTCTCAGGACGGGTTAACCACAAGTTCGTGGGAAGCATCTTCAATTCTGTTCGGGCGCGAGGCTTTTCCTGCCGCGGGACGCCCAACCCGCGGAGCTGGCGGCACACCTGCGGCGGATGAGGTGGGTTCGGCGTTGCTCAAGCGGTGGAAGCCTCCCGGTTGTGAAGGCCTTGTCGTTTGTTCATCGTTGCACATTCCGTTTGAGGTTCTATTGACAAGACGCGCGCTTTCCTTAGAGTTCTGTTTAGTTATTTAAGCTTAAAAGGTAGGGATCCCTTAGACTCAAACCCAAGCGCAGTCCCCTAAAAGCCGGTAGCCACATAGACCCCAAGTGTTCCCCATGGATCCCCTGGCAGTTCCGAGTCGTGTGCTCGGTGCACCGAGCCCAGTGGCGCGGTGGAAGAGCTCATGGTGCCCAGCCGCAAGCGGAGCCTCCAGGAGGCCAGTGGCCACAAACCTCGCAGCTACGACATTTAGGCTTGTGGGCTGTGATGGGTCTACCTTTTGCCTTCACATCTGAAAGTGGGAAAGTCTCACTTTGGGACATGGTCCTAGGTGTGGAGTCTGACACCCAATGAGTTGGGCCTCGAATCCACCGGGTCCAGCTGATTGCGGGCTTTCGCAGGCCTGATGCCGCATAGCTCTCTGCCAGATGTGCTCAAGACGGGCATGGGAGGGAACCAGGCAGCCTCCATTAAGGAGCTGAAGCTCGTTCCAATAGCATCATGCAAGCTCTCGACACCGTTGTTCCGTCAGATACCAAAATCCTTGGTACCAAAGATGAGATATTGGATCTGACCGCTACCTTGAACATTCCGCACTCTTCAGGCTGAACGGACAGCCATTCCTGGGCAATCAGCCAATTTTGGGATCAGCACCTCGTGGTTTTGGCAGGGGTGGAGTGGGATTGGGAGATGCCATGGCTTTGTCTCTGGCGGTTGCGGCCCTCCTGAGGCGCAGGGTTTCGTCTTTCTCCGAAAATGAGCTCGGCCGAACGGTTCTACACGCCTTAGGGAAGCCCCAGGGAAGTTCGGTTGCTTGGACCTGTTAGGATCCGGGCGGGCTGCGATATTTAATTCGCCCAAACCTGATCTAGGCGAATTAGTTTTCCGAGGCCAAAAAACGGAGGCCTAATACTATGAATCCGAGCACTCCCCTAGTAAAACCATGTCTTCTAGAAGGGTTGGGGGACCATCCCTTCGCATCCATTGCCGGGAGTGGATGTTATTTCAGGCTTTCGGAGCCAGGCATGGCTGACTGGGATGCTCAGGAGTGCAGCTCAGCTTGAACCGGGGATGGTTTTGGGTGTCCGTATTTGAGGCTCGTTTTTTGCTATGGTTTCAAGGAAACCAACAGGAAAGACCATCGATTCGGGGGGGTTCCCCAATTTGAGATAAACCAGGTGGGAGAAATTCAGCGGTCATTGAAGGCGAGTGTGGGGGGACTCTTACACGGAGCCTTTGGGAAGATAGGTGAGATTGAAACTTGATGAAATGTCAAATCACAGGTCCGTTATTTTGAGAACTTCTGGAGGGAGTTGACCTCTTCGACACCCTGCAGTTTTGCAGGGACTTGCCGAAATGATTGTGCCCCAGCCAACCGCACTGAAGCCGGGTTGCTACCTGCATTGCCCACGCCTGGCCGCGGTTGAGGTGAGCCTCCAGATTATGGTAGTCAGCAGTACTGGGAGGCACAGCCTTCCCGAGCGGGGGGAGGGCTTCAATGAAACATTGCATTTGGTTGAGGGGTTACAGGGGCGTTGCCTTTTGCCGGACACGCTCCTTAACCCTATTGTCTCCTCAAATGGGGGCGGCCAAAAAAGGGAAGTTGGCACAGATCCACCCTGTTGGCCACCCAGCCTGTTTGGGCGCCTCTGTTGGCCAACCATTTTTCGGGGGAGCCTCCCGCCCCTCGCGTGTTCCCTGGCCCGCGCCCTCGCCAGGCGCACTTTGCCTCGGCGCCCAGCGGCGCCCAGGACGACTCCGAGGCGCTGGAGTTCGAGTGGCTCTGCCCGGGGCCCCGGCCTTTGGGGAAGCGGGAAGCGGCGTTGGTTCCTTTTGAAGCTTGGTGGATTTCTGCTTTGTGGGGGTGGTGGAAAGGGCAACCAAAAGGAAGCCGCGTATTTTGGAAGTTTGTTACTTGTGGGGACAAGTTGAGACATGTTGAGACATACTCATGCTCTCAAGGAAGGCTGGGATTTGTTCAAAGCCTACTGCACTTTCGTCAGGCGGGGATTGGGAGACGTTGCTTCCCCTGCTGATGCCGCACCTGCCGAAGGCGGCCCCGGACCTGGGAAGCAACTGATTCCAAGCGGGCCGCATAGGCCTTCCTTTCGCATAAATGTTGACCCCGGATCTGAGCAGAACTTGTCCTAGTACTAGAGGCGTGTCCCTCCTGAAAGTGAGGAATGCAACTGCAAAAAGGGGACACCCAGGGCTCAATTAAACCGGGGTTCCTGTTGTCCAGTAAATGAGCTGCAACATGCGCCTGGCTGCGCAGTGGGTCTGAAGCAATGCTTCATCCCGAATCCTCAATGGGGTAAGGTCGGAGGCAGGGCATGAGTGTATTTCACTTCATCTCAGGGCACCTGTGACGAAAAGGATTTCGCCAATCGGATTTAAGTGACCGATCTTTTCGCGCCTTGCTGGGCGGCAATTCGCCGCATGCTCTGCCAGGCTGGGCGGATCCTTCACCCGGGCTGTGGAATGTTCCCGGCTCAGCTGGCTCGGCCGATTTTGCATGCAAGTGAGCATGTCTGAGCGAGGGCTGGGGGCTGAGTAAGCTAATGGCGTTGTTGGACTCATTGATATCATGTTTCGAGCAGTTTCCAACAACACTCGCAGAATTGGACGTTCTATTTGCAAGGGGCAATGAGCTCTTGCAAACCAACATGCTGGCTGACCGGATGGGCTGGCGGGTGGGCAGTGGGTCTGGCGGGGTGAGGTCACGCTTGCCGGAGTTAGTCCACAGAGAGGTGCCAGCCTCAGGAGGACCCAAGAGCAATCGCAGGGAGGAAACCTCCAAGAGAAATGGATCCGAGAAAACGAAGACTAAAGGTCCTTTCTGTTAAACAGTTGTTCCATTTTGTGGAAGCGACAGCAAGTTTGGCCTCAAGGCCCCACTTGAAGGAAAGTTTCCGAAGAACGCTACACGGGGGAAGTGCACGGTCGCCCAGATGCAAACAGAACGCGGAGGAACACACTATTTTAAGACACATCAGGGGCATGTGTGGAAATACTATGGTTCGAGACTTGCCTGAGAGACCTCACTCAGCCAGGGCTTGCCTGAGACCTCCAGCGCGTTCCTTGATCCAGAATCTAGGATAAAGGCTTGGTCACGAAACCTGGGCAAGGACTGCCGATTCTCAATCTGCAAAGGGTTTGTAGGGCTGGAGGTTGTCAGAGGCAAACACTTCACTCAATTTGCATGATACTTGTAGTTTGTGATCAAATCGCGTTCCCTGCAACCACAACAAAAACCACGAGTCCGAAAAGGGTGTGTGTTTTTTGCATCGCTTGAGGCGCCTGGCTTGGAGATCCTGAGCCTCGACAGCAGACGGACTCTGAGATCGCTTGCTGTGAAGGCGACCGATTCCACGACATCCTCAATGAGCATTTGATGTGCAGTGAGGGTTGGTTTCAGGGACTCGGGATACAAACCTCCTCCATGCTCCCCCATGTTACGGGGAAGCAAGGGACTCACGTGGCTACGAACCTTGATGGGGAATAGCCTCAAAATGGTTGAACAATGGCTGATGTATTTTTTTTATTTAATCTCCACCCACGGAAGATTCATGCCCACGCATGGCCAGCCGTCAAGGCCCCAGCTGCGTGTCCCTGATGCGGCAGGGCCAGCCCTCGCCCGGCCTCCTGTGGCAGGCGGGGAGAAACACGGAACTTGAGGGCCAGAACTCGGGATGGAAATCACCAGGCGCAAGTTGGTTTTGCCCGCCGCAAGGGCTCGGGCAATTTTGGCCTCCCTTCGAAGCAGAACCCCGGCAACCTTCTGGAGTTGTGCAAACGGAAGCCAAAGGAAAGTCCCCCATTCGGCTCATGGCTCAGCCAGAAGCCATCGCTTCAGGTGGCGGATGTGGCTCGCCCGCCGCTTTCTGGATGGGGCTCTTTTGACGCTGTGGTGGAGAAGGGCTGCAGGGGACTTGGAGACTGACAGCGGCTTGGAGAACGCCTAACTAGTTGGATTTGGGGGTGTCATGGAGTACTTGAAGCCCCAAACTTGTCATACGAGTGTACTGTTAGTACCTGTTCGCATGAAGATGTTGAGAGGGACATTGCGGACGAGCATGGACTCACTGGTTTCCCCATGATAAGAACCGCATATTTTGACCTTGGCTCTTTGAACCACAGAGGAGACATGAGCCACAACCAAAGTACACAGCAAGTACAGACATGTACAGTCCCTTCTGTTTGAGCACGTGTAAGCGTTCAGCTGCCCCCTTTTTACCCCTGACACAAGTTTGCTTTTGCCTATTTCCCAGCCCCGGAAGCCAGCGAAGCACGGGTCATATGCCGATGCCGATGCGCCGCCGCCGAGGCTTGGACGCTCTCCTCTGCCACAGCGACGAGGAGGTCTCGGTTTTCGGGTTTTCGGGGCTGGCATTCGACTGGCGTGGCTCAAGAGCTCGACATGTCCGAATTGCAGTAAGCGTGAAACGCGATCCTGTTTTGATGTTTGAACCTCCGACTAGAAGTGGGAAAGTCTACTGGAAGAGGATGAAGATGGCAGCAAACCCACTGTTGTGCGATGTTGCTTGTCGATTTGGCCGACGCTTTGGCTGCACCACTCCAGACTGATGCCGTTTTTGCTTCAGCTTTGGACCAGCGGCCAATGAATGGCACCATGCAGTCAAGATGGGGGTTATTTTTAGCAGTGGAAGGTTTTGACGTACTTTCTGGTGTGCCGGTGAGAACTTGCTTCAGCGAAATCAGGCGTTGAGACGTTCAGGTTGGCAGTCATAGTCAGCGAGAACACCTGAGTTTGCCAGGTTTTTCCCGATGACCCGCAACCCGATCCCGGCATTCCCTGCTGTTTTTTTTAGCGTTTTCCCTTGTTTAGTCAGGTTTGCCAGGGGAAAGCAATAAGTGGGTCTGGAAACGTTCCAACATGTCTGTGGTTTCCAACTGAAGGAGTATTGCAAGCATGGCAAAAAGCCTCGCCACTTCTGCCTTGTTGCAAGCCTGCAACACCGGGTCCCCGGGAGCTCCCAGAGCTATGGCTCCGCGGCCCGTGCCGGCGCCAGTTCAACTCGAGGCAAGGCGGAACAGTCGGGGCGGCCTCTTTTTGGGCTGAACCACTGAGAGGGGAAGTGTCCGTTGCACGTTTTGCACTGGAGGGGGGCCTGGTTGTATGTTGAAGGATCCTTATTCGAATAGGGACGAGAAAGTGCCAGTGCGCAAAGAATGACCATCCCCCGATTGACCAACGAGCCAGCAAGGGGAGGAATCCAAGCACCGCCCATCTTTCACGCGGATGGAAGGCAAAAGGTAAAATGTGCGTAGTGGGTGGGAGGGTCTCTTGCAAGTCTGAAGGAATGTGCCTCAAAAAAGGGGACTGTCTGTACTTTCAGAGTGAGTCCCGTCTCTAGGCAAGGTGCAGAGTCCTGGCGTGGCCCAACTCGCTGTAAGGCTATGTGTGGTATGTTCACTGGAACTTGCAGTTCCGTGCCTTTCCGGTCGGGAAGCTTTGCTCATCAAAGTGTGTGGAAGGCGGCGACGCGCAATCTGATATCTTCACGCTTGTCTCTCTCAGACTCAAAGGCTGATGTAAGACTCCAGCTGGGGTCCAGCTCAAGTTGAGAGTCCTCCGGGTAAACTCTGCCAGGGCCTACACAGGCACGAGGAGAAGAACCAGGAGGAGGAAGAGGAGGAGCTGCGAGTGGCGGGGGAGCTGTGGAGGTGGGGGTGCATGGATGTACTTTTTTGCTCACACGGCAGGAAGTCTCTCCTTTTGGATGGCTTGTGGTCCGTGACAACCCTTTTTTGGGGGTGTAAGGGGGTGGTTAAACACGAGCTTAGGGAACCTCAAAGTACCGCTCGATTGCGCAGCGCGCTCGATTTGTCGCGCATGCTTTACGGGCGGACGGTTGCCTGGTGCGGGTCAGGCCCAACGTCGACGCACCGGCGGACCAGTTCCTGCCTGCAGCAGCGCAGATGGGAGTCATGGAGGACCAAGCCGTGCAGAAGGCGCATTTGAAGTTGGTTGGACGTGTCAGAATGGTGTGTGTGTGTGTGTGTCTCCGTGTCCGTGTCTGTGTCTGTGTGTCTTTGTGTCTTTGTGTCTTTGTGTCTTTGTGTCTGTGTCTGTGTGTTTGGTGTTTGTGTGTTTCTGTGATATGTTTGTCTAGCCTCCACTTATGCATGATATAGAAGACAGAGCCTGCAAGCCAACCCGCAGAAGAGTGCCTGCCGACGCGGTGGTCTGGCAGAGGCACCTTTCAATGTATGCAGCAACGGACACCATTGCCTGGGCATTAGTTTCTCGTTTTTGGTGGTATTGTATCGATTTTGCAGGTTGATGGGTATCGGTTCAGGTTGTCCTGCATAGGGTTTTATACATTGTTGTGCCGTGCCTTAGCAGGGAAAACCTTAGCTGGATGGTTTCTGCGCATCTCCCGTCTTGCGTGGGATATAAACCGGCACCCTCCGGTGGCCTCCATTTAAGCTGCCAAGCGGACCAACGATGGTTACCGACATCAGCCGTTTCGGGTGGGTTCCTTGAAAGGAACTGGGGAGAGTATCTCAAAACTCTGCGCATTCTGCGCCTTGCTTGAGTGGTCGAGTTGTGGGAGAGGTGTCTCTGGATTGGTGTTGTTTGCTCCCTGGTTGCTCGAAGACCATCCCTGTGCGAACTGAGTAAGCTGACATTTGGCAATTTTGAATCCGGAGAGTGTCCGGTTTGGCTTTTTGGCGGCCTTCAGCCATCCCCAAACGGGTCCAGTCCTTGGTGTCCCTTCTCGCTGTTTCTTGGCAGCCTTTTGAGAAAATAAGAGAGATGCTAGCAGTCCTGGGCTCATTGGTCCAGCCAACCTGGCCAGCCAGCCAGCCTTCGTAGGCGCGGCTGGTGCGGCTCAAGCAGCTGCTCGAGCTGGCCTGTCCTGGCGGCCCTGGCCGTAGCTCGGAGCTGTACAGGGATTGACTCAGATCTGACTCAGGGGCCTGGACGATCGCCTCCCCACTCTTCAGCCGGCAAGTTGGTTTTTTGTGTTTTCTCAGTAACAAGCCAAATAGGTGTGAGAAATTGACACGATTTGTTGCTCCATTGATGGTTTCGGGAAGACATGGCATTGCATAGTGCTTCCAGAGCTTAACCTTCGACAGAGGTGCTTTCAGATGACTACGGCAAGTTGCAATCCACAACAGCAACCTTCGAAGCGACGGGCAGGGGCACATCAGTTGGTTCCCCCGAACTTGGGGTCTGTTTAGCAACCACCTTCAAGGTATGTAGGAGGGGTCTTAAGACTTTAAGGTAGTTATAGGCCTGCAACGAGGACTCTAAGCATCCACGCTCTTCGATGGTGAGTCTGCTCTTCGTTTGCTTCGCCGGATTTCTGGCACACGCCATTGTCAAATTATTTGGTGGAATAAGCATCAGGCAGCATGGTCATAGCCTCCCAAACAACGGTCACATTGAATTGGCCGTTGCAAGGACATGTCACTTGTCATTTTCGGCTGTCATTGCCAGGTTTGGCCAGCACAGCCATGAGGATCTCAGGGAACCATGGCCATGTTCATTTGAATGAAAAGCCATTGGGCTTTCATAACACCCAATGTTTGCTTTTATTGAAACATTTTCAGAGAGCCCTGGGCAAATCTCCAGGACACACTCGGTGTCTTGGCCTTGCGCCCAGGAGACGAGCTCGAGACCGTGGAGTTCGACGAGTTCGACGGGCTCCTCTGCGGAGGCGCGAAGTGGCGAAGCCGCGCTCGCTGAACGTGAAGTGAGTCGACGACCGCAGCAAGTCGACATGGACCCAAGAAAAGGCGATTGTCCGTGGAACCTAAAAGCTGTGTCTTTGTGTGTGTGTAAGATTCCAATCCCGACTTGTTGGCTTGCTTTTATTGGGGCTTGGCATATCTAGCCGAATTTTCGATTTGGGGGTTGTAACGGTGAGCACCTACTTTACAAAGATAATGAAGATAAAGGCATTATTGCCAACTCGTTCTGCCACTGCAAGTTGGAACCCACCCTCCTTCCGCCCCTTTAGAACAACCAGGGAAGGGGCAATATGCTGCGCCAGCGTATCTTAAAGTGAAATCAATCACTGGCTTCAAGCCAGGACATTGCCAAGGCGTGCTAACAGAATCACAACCCTTTGAAGTGTGGGCCTGTTGTCAGATTGGTGTGGGCAACAATATATGGGTATGGTTGCCAGGGATATCGACCAAGTTGCGCACGGGATTTTCCATTTTGGAAGGACCATTGCAGTTTCGTGGCTTGTGGAAAATACATAGGTGCTTAGGGCCACTCTGCAGAACAGTACCCAGGGACTTGTGTGAAGGTGACAAACTAGTCATGGCGATGGCCTTTTGCGATCGAAATGCCCGCAGCCGCGGCAGCCTCGCAGGTGCCCAATCCTCGGTCCTGCGCAGCATGATGCGGCGCCTTGGCCTGGATTGCCGCAAGGGCGGCGTGCAGAGCCACATGCAGCGCAGGCGACCTCGACCGTTCGGTTCATTCGGGGGATGCTGGAGAGGGGGTGCAAAAGCTGGGCCCCTGGGAAGTGGAATTAAAAAGGGGGTGACTGGAATCTGATTCTAAGTTCATGTTCTCTTCGGGCCAAAGTCGAAAACGGAATACTCTCCAAGGGGGCTGGCAGGGCTTGATCCAACAGCACACCTGGCCGAGGTCTAGGTTGACACTCTGTTCTGATCCAGAATCAAAACATGAGAGTCCCAAACATAAACAGGCACGCGCCCCCCCTTCAAGTATGTGCATGTTGTTTGGTAGACACCTTGCATAGAAGGCGTTGATTCTAACTTATATGTGGGTTTGCATTCACTAAGGGCCCTTCAGAAGGATTGATGTCAAGTTTGCTGTAGTGAAACTCGGATGTGCATCCAGACATGACCAGGCCACGCCTTTGACATTTACAATGGTGCCACTCCCTGGCAAGTGCGCTTGTTGCAATCTAGTTGTTTATCTAATTGTTTGGATTTTGACAGCCCTCCCCCCCACCCACCACACATTGTGAGTACGTGTATTTTTACTGGGTTTATGTTTGGAATGAACCCCGAACAAGCGTCCTGCGAAAAAGGGCCAGAACGAACACTGAGAACAGGGTGGTCCTTTTAAGACCTTTCTGAAAGTGTAGGATGCCCAAACTTGGTACCACTCGGCCAAACGCCCTCAGTTTTCCATGTCAGATCCCTTTGGAGGCTAAAAGAGATGCAGCGGCGCCGCGACGCAGCCTCGCAGCTGATCGACGAGATGGAGCGGGAGGCGCCTGGTGAATTGCGCGGAAGGGTCCCGGTGTGTGGAATTGACACGGGTTCACCTAGGGGATAAACCGAGCAAGCCCGTGAAGGCTTTTTGCTGCGACGCCCCTTCTTTCCAGCTTGGGGAATGGCATTTTCAGATGGCGTCCCATGTCTGGTGATTTCCGTTGCAGGTTGTCTCCAGACAGCCTGAGTTGCCCCAAGTCAAACTTGCGGGAAGCGCATGGGGTGGGCTCGTTTCAACCGTTTCGCTTCCGCTGCATTTGCACTTTGAATCAATGCGATTGGAGGTGCTGGTGCTCCGGCAGCAGATGTCAGACCAGGCCGGGGAGAGGGGTGGGACTAGGCAGGCACGCGCAGAGGGACTTGGCTTGATGTCAGGCGATTTGCGAATCACTCTCAGCAAATGGGTGGCAGGGTGAAAGCATATCTTCAACGTGCTGCGGGAGCATTATTCGTAAACACCGGAACACGAGGCCATCCCTGCACCTCATCTCTCAATCTGCCTCTCAAGATTCAGGCGAGTTCCAAGACACTGCAACCAACACATGTTGACAAGCGACAACTCCTTAGCAGACTGCGCTGCATAGCCTCAGCTTCAACAAAACAACTTTCCTCAGCCTTGCTTACACCTTATCGACTGCGATGCCAAGCAAACCAAATTGAGGCAACCACGCTTGCCATTCCTCGCATGCCTGTTGGGCTTATTCCTTTGATACTGACTTACATATACCTGAACACATGTGAGGGCATGGATTAAATAGCAACGCGGAATGCTTCCCTAAGATGTACCCTCAGCACATGTGACAGCGATGCTCTATTCAATCTCAGGCCGCGGAGCTCTCAAAGCTGGGGACTCGGCCGACGCAGGCCGGGCCGGATTGCATTCGTGGTCACGCGAAGCCGCCAGGTTCCTTCGACTTAGACAAAGATTAGACAGTAGACTGTGTCTATTTGAAGAAGAGAATTCGGTTGCTTCAAAGTTGAACTTGACTTGGACGCTTGTAAAAGAGCCTCAGGACCGGGCTGAAGGAAATCACTGGCATGCTTCAGATGTTTCGCAGTTCGCAGACCTGCTGAATGCTGCATTGCGTTCTGTGACAAATTATAGGTACAAAGCTCTACCTGGAATGAAAGAATCACTACCGGTCGGTGGCGAGCAAATGCAGTCGGGTATATTTTTCATAATTACGAGCATGGTTGAACATAGTGGACTTTGGTGGTGGTCTGAGACTAGTTTGGAGGAGTCAGGATTCAACACTTGAAACATGCCAAAACAACCAAGCCTGCACATCACCCCTCCAACCCCCCCCCCCCCAGTGAAATCTCCAACAGCTGCAGTTTTCCGGCCTGGCCGCGAAGAATTCGGATGTGCTTGGTTCTTTTATTATGGGGACCAACCATTCCACTTGCAAGATATTGCAGGTCAGACCGGTTGCTCCCTCCGGACCGAGACAAACTCCGCCAGGATAACTGCCTGGCAGCCCCCGGCTGTGCCGAGGAGGAGCTTAGCCGCGAGGCCGAGAGGGGAAGGTGGAGCCTTGGGAGGCAGAACGCAACAGTCGGGAGTCGGGAGTGGGACAGGGTTGGCTGGTGTGAGAAGCTGTTTCCGTTGTTTGTGCTTGGTTTGAACAGCTGAATATGCTGTAAGGAATACAGAGCCCTGGCTTTCAACGGGCGGACGGTCAATATTCAGTGTGTCCCAGACTCACATGGTCATCGTTTTTTTCAGCAAAGGGGACCCTGTCTTTGCGACCCCCAACCTGTTTTTGTTGCCCTTGATAGGCAGTAAAGATGGAGGTCAAAGGTTTGGGTGAGCCGCTGGGTCCCCAATTATATCTCCATGTAAGGGAGACGGGTCCAACGAACGGCCTCAAGTTGTTGCGGACAGCCTCGGCGCCTCTTCAGCCGGTTTCCGGCGCCGACGTCGCCTCGCGTCGCGTACGAGCCGCAGGTGGGGTCTCACTGCCTCGAGTCCCCGGGCCCCGAGCTGCGCTGCGAGCTGCGCCACCGCTTGCGAGAGGCCCAGGAGGCCACCCGGCAGAATTTTGGGGCGGGGGGGGGGCAGCAGAGGGCAACCTGATTTATGTTTAAAACCCCTTGGGGGGGGATTTCCTTTTGTCTTCGTGCAAACCAAGATGAAAAGGGTATCCGGAAAACGGGCACAGGAGCTCATCCGGGAGTAAAGCAAGCTCACCCATGATGAAGATGCCTTGGAGATTCCAGATTTCTAGTGTGTGAATCATAGTTTGCATACGCGAGGGAGGTGTGCCCTGCTTTTCCAATGTTGAAATGTTCAGGGAGGACCCTTGCGTTTTGGCCGAGTGTTTGTGGTCGCACGGGTGTAGGCGAATGGAACTGGTCATCAAAGGTTACATCCTGTGTTGTCCAGCTGTTGTGGCAAGCATATTTTGCGGCGAAGATATTGTACGAGCTCACTTCAAGATGAGATGCACGGAGTATTCCGAGTCTTGAACAGAAAATGCGATGAACCACGGCATGCGGGGCCATCCTTGCCGCGCCTCTGACCCAGGAGCTCTGCGAGATGCGGGTGGAAGTTGCGGCGGCGCAGAAGGTGCGGCTGGGTCCAGCGGGGCAAAGTCGAGAGATCTGCGGATCGGCTGCCCTGGAGCTACTGACTTGGTGCAACACTGGTCTGATTCCTTAGCTGCCAGGCAGTAATCAAGGCCGGCAGTGCTAGATGCCTCTTAGCTGCTTGTTCACACGCAGAATCGCTTTGTGGCTTTTGGAAGGAGACCAACATGAAACGAAGCGTTTGGAGCGCCCGGGACACAGCTCGCAGCTCGCTCATGTTTTCTTTCATTCAATCCAAAAAGGGAACATGTCGCCATGTGCTATTCCAATACGATGGTGCCAACTTCGATGAAGCGAGTGCCGTTTTGGCAGCTCCCGCTCTTTGGAGTGATGCCGGTTGGCTAACGCCTGCGTCAAACATTGCGAACAGCAAAATTAGTTGACTGTACTTGCAGTTTGAGCATGCTAAGTGTATGTGACCCACCGGCTCAGTCCCTGGTGTTCCCTGACATGTTATTGTCATTTTCCCAGCAACGAGGGGCTTCTCCAGGTCTCCTGTTGGCTTCTCATGGCTTTTGATTCATCTACAAAGTCTTTTTTCTCGGTTGCTGAGCTTCAGGTCGGAGCCAGCGCCTGGGAGAGCGTCAAGCAGGTGCTTCAGGTGAGAGAAGGGTGGGTGGGGGGGGGTCGGGTGAGGGCCGAATACCGAGGGCAGCTTCGCTCGGTGCCCTCAATCCTGTGGCTGGACGAAATCCCGTTGCGAACTCCAGTCGCTTGGAGGTGTGTCCCATTCAAAGGGTGCAAATATTCGCCAAAGGGGCGGGGGGGGGGTTGGGATGGGGACTTGCAGACTGCCTCGGTGCGTGGCGATTGAGTCGGGGCCCACCCCACCCCACCACCCCTTGGCTTCGCGCCAGGACTCACAGCCCGAGGCCAGCCTCCTGGACGGGCGCAAGGCGTTGCTGGCCTTTGCGCGGGGGAAGAGCCGGGGCACCGCGCCGCGCGGCAAAGGGGAGGGCCATGCGGCGCGTTCAACCCCCGGACCGTTGTTTTTTTGGGGGTCTGCGAAGCAACCAGAAGCTAAAGTGGAGGTCATTTCAAGATGTGGCGGGAGAAACAGCACTCAGCTGATGGGAGGGGGCTGGGGAGGGCCAGAAAGGGCCCTGAAGCAGCAGTGTTTTGAGAGGGGTAATGGCTTCAAGTGGTTCTTCTGGGAGTGAGTGGTTGGGACGGCCCAAGGATCGCGGAGAAGCTTCTGGACTGGGACGTGCAGAGGAAGCTGCTGCAGGCTTCTTCTTTTTTTCTTCCACCGGTTGGAGGCCTCTTTTTTGCCACACACAAATCGCGAACCGGAAATCCTTCGTGTAGAAATTTGCAGGAATCCTGGAGATCTATAGTGACTTGGTGTAGAAATCCTTTTGAGAGGCTGGAAGGCATGTTTCTTCCTCAAAGGCGGTAAGCAAAAATGAAAGGGGCATATCAAACCCCTCACAGTCTATAATCAGGGGGGCTTCCTTGGAAAATCATGAATCGAAGCTTGTACAACAATACCCCTGCAGCGACTTGGTGCGAATTCATTCTCATGCCGTCGGTCCTTCACATCATGCCATGTGAACCACTAGCACCACAAGAATTGATCAAGGAAGGCAGGAGGCACATGGGAACGCTGGACCGGGAGCCTTTTGCTATTCTACCTATCCTGTGCCTGTGCGCGCAGCTTGTGAGGTTGGAAGCCAGCGGTTGACCGGGCCTACCAGGTTTAGGTGCTTTAAGCAATTGTCAAAGTGGTCGTTCGCTAGCGAACGTACCTTTTGGGAGTGAAGTTGAGAAAAGGAAGACAATGGGCCCAGGGTGAGCAACACTTTTAGTTGCCGCAGCCCCGGGGCTCGAATTTTCCCAGCCCTGTTTGGCTGCCAGTATGCTTGCAGAGGTCGGACCAGATGTCAGTTTCGCAGCAATTGCCTTGTGCAAGAGGGGTGACAAGCCGCAGTCCACGTGCCGGCTTCAAGCGAAGTCGCTCTGGGTTGAATGTCGCATTGCTAGCCGCCTGTCGGAAGCGTGCCTGGGTTCAGGCAATCCATTTGTTTCGCGCGATGAACACAGCAAAGGTTCAGGCCGATGTCATAGACTTCAGCGCTGCCATCAGCGCATATGCGACAGCAGGAAAGTGGCAGCATGCTTTGCTGCTATTGCTGCTGATGTCTGAGGTGACTGTACAACCGAACATTGTCAGCTTGACTGCCTGCATCAGATCACTCCAGCATTGCAAAGAGAGGTCGCTGCAGAGGGCGCTGCAACTCGTGAATGCGGCAACGGCATGGGCTGAGCGAGATGCAGTGAGTATCAACGCAATGTTGAGCCTGTGCGGAAAGGATGGCCAGTGGCAACAGGCGCTTTGTCTCTTCGGCGGGCTTTCCAATTCACAGCTCGAAGTTAGCGCCGTCAGCTTTAACACCTCCATTACATCATGCCGGAGCCTGTACTGGCAGCAAGCATCTCGGCTTTTAGCGGCCATGCAGCTGTACAGCGTGCAGCGGGAGGTGATTAGCTTCAATGCTGCCAGCTCCTGTGGAAGGACCAAATGGCCTTTGGCCACGCAGTACTTTGCAGACATGCGGCAGGCACAGGTTCAGCAGAGCCTCATCAGCTGCAGCAACGTTTTGGAAGCCTTGCGTTTGGATGGCGAATGGCAGCCGGGGCTTCATTTCTTCGCGCTTATGCCTGCAAGACATGTCCAACCAAGTGCCGTCAGCTACCAGTGGGTTTTGGGTTTGTGCGACGCTTATCGCTGGCAACAAAGCGTCCAATGTTTGGCAACAATGGTTTGGGCCAGTGTTCAGGCAAATGTTTTGCATACGAGTTCAGTCACTGCCACATTTGGGGACAAGAGATGGCGGCAGGCCTTGCAGAGATTTTGCTTGGCGCATCGCCTTCGGCAGGATGTGTTTAGCTTCAGTTCAAGGATCAGTGCGTGTGGCAGCAGGTGGGGTCGGGGGGTTCAATTGCTTGTTGCATTACTTCAAGACAGCATCAAATGCAACAGCGTGAGTTTCAATGCCGTGATAGATGCATGTGCGAAGGTTGGTCAGTGGCAACATGCCATGCACGTGCTGGGTAGCATGCCGCTTGCTGGCGTACCACAAGACGACGTTAGCTATAGTGTAGCCTTGGCTTCGTGTAATCGGGCGATAGGTCTGAACAGGGGTTTGGCAAGCTGACCATCGCCGGCCTCCAGGCAACCAAGCTGAAAGAACGACCAGTTGGATGAACGCCCGGGAGCACCTGCGAACTGCATCAACCCGCCGGGATGTAGCACTTGGTATGTGCGCACGGATGTTGGGCGGCGTCTTTGCTACAGCAGTTGCATCAAGCAACGGGACCCAGTCGAAAGGTACGAGTACTTGCGGGCAGCACGTTCAGCAACTGGTCAGAGTCTGAAGCCCAATTCGGCAGAGCAACGCATCAGCTTGGGCATGTTTAAGAGTTTTCCCACTGCAAGTTTTGCAGCTTGGTCCTCGAACCCTTGTTTTGTTTGAGGAGGGCACAGTACATGCGCACATCCAGTGCCTGGCATGGGATGAGCTAGCCGACATATGTGAAAAACATGATTCCGACCACTGGGAGAGACGCCCCCCCCCGATCAGCTTTGCCATGTCCAGTCAGGTAGAGAATGGGGCTTGACCTGACAAGATCCAACAGTTTGCGGCAATGCACCAAAGGTCCTAAGTCCAACGAGGCGATGCCTTCCTTCAGCTGGCGCTGTGTTCCCAGCCTCACAGCTGAACAACACTGGGTAGAGCCCCATGGAATTTCTTCCCCAGCGTTCAGACAGATCTAAATTTGCGTCAACATTGAACTCTGGGTTTAGGTCTACCTCGGGGTTTGCGCCAAACATGGCCGTGCTGCATCCCCCCTCCGGCAGGCCGCCGTTCTGGGCTGGAAGGCAGTGCTGTTCAGCGGCCGCCGCGCTGACCGCTTCAAGGTGTGCAGCGGGGGGGGGGGGGGGGGGGGGGGAGGGTGTTATGGCCTGGGTTGGAGGGTGTGGTTTATCTACAGGGGTCTAAAGAGTTTTAGTTGATGATAAGATGTGGCCTATCCTCATGTCTTGATTTGGTATTTTAAAGGTTTTTAAAGTAGCCCGCTTGTAGCAAGGTGGGTTGCGGGGGGTTCCTTGGTTCAAGGTGTGTGGGAGGGTAGTCGTTGCAGAGGGCATGCAGCAAATACCTGTTGCGTGGTTTTTGCCAAGCTGAGTCAAGACAAAAGAGGGCTGGCAGGGCGAATGCCTGAATGCTCATTGGTGTATAGGATAGGGGCCAGTGTTAATGGTTCCCGTGCTCATGACGAACCTCCTGCAGGTTTCATAATATGAGGCCAATGCGAATGTCGAGCCAATTAAAAGGTGGGACACATTGGCTTGTACACTTCACATATGCACACACACGCAATGGAACATGGAGCCAAGCGGATCCCTGGCTTGGGCCCACGTTCCTCTAGGGATCTGCTTGGCGGCGTTAGGAGTGTTCAGTCAAGTCCGATGGGCTAAGGAATTCTTGAAGGTATCCAACACGCGGGTTCGGTCGCCATACTGAACAGTTGCGACTTTCCAGCCGGAGCTGCGGAAGCGCATTTCGCGCAAAACACAGCTACTTAATACAGTTACAACTGTCTGACTTTTGCTAGTAAAAGTGTACGGCAATGAACCCGCGAAACATCGAACCTTAAAAGTGCACAGTGAAAGTGCTCGCGACCTCACAAAGCTCGGGTTCCTTTCTTTGAGGCCCTGCATTTCGAGTTGATTTGTCTTCCAGTTTGCCCGAATTAGCCCCGATGTTCGCATAGCACCAGCAACCTACCACAGGGCTCAGGTCGGCAAATTATAGCGAGTTCACTTATGAAGGTCACTTGCTTGGGCATACCGTAATTCAGGTGCGAGTCATGTGCGCAGGGTCACCACGGAACTCGGTTGCCCTGAACCTTTGACCTGGATCGTAACTTGGCCGAAGCGGGCCGAACCGGATGTTCAACGCCCAGGCGTTTCTGCAGACCAGGACGCACGCGGAGCTGATGGAGGCGCCGAGCCCCTCTTAAATGAGACGCCTATACATCAACGCCATGGCCAAGACTAGTTGGAGGTCGAACATCCAACATTCGGCTGACGATCCAAGGTTGGCTTAGCTCAAAACAGGAAGCCGAAAGGAATCCGCTGACCTCCCTCAAAGGGTCCACGCTGTTTGAGGCGTGACATTCCCTGAACCATAATTTTGAATCTTGACAGTCAGAACCCAAATCGACGAGTCCATTTTATGAACCATTGGAGCAGTCCCCCTGGTTTTTGGGTCCTGTAAGTTTTACAGCCGATTCACAAACTCATTTTACAAGCACTGTTCAAGCCCCTCGACCCGAATGCTCTCAGCTGTTCCCAAACTCCTAGAATCCCAGATCCAAAATTCAAGAAACCCCCACTCAACCTGTGGCTTTAAGCCTTTGGTCTGGTTCCGTTCAACGGGTTTCCCAGCTTCCAAGAGGCGGCCTTCGGGGTGTGGCGGCATCTGGTGCTGCAGCTTTGGTCCGGGGCCGCGGAGCAGCGGCTCTGCCGGCGCCGCGGCGTGGGGCGTTGACCTGGGCTTCTGTGTTACGTTGACCCATGCTTTACCAGGTTGTGCAACCAAACTACGAGAATGTGTGCGCGTGTCTTTTTGGCGCAACATGGTTGGCAGTCTATCTTGCAATAGTATTTTGGGAAACCAGGGGTCCGCTTGGGGTGTTGCCTTGATTATTTGTTTGATTCATAAATTGAAACGTATATCACGTTGGAGCAGAATCCACATGCTTGTGTTTTTTAGATGCTGTGATGTAGTCAGGAAACACCATGCTTGAAATTCCAACATATCAGTCAGCTGTAAGGCAACGTGACTCCACGTAGAAGCAACTACAATACACGCGGATTCCAATGTCAGATTGACGTAAACTACAATGGTGAATTCATAGAAGCTTGACTAGGCTCATATGATATCGTGTCAATATATTGATGTTGTCATTGATATACACACATATACCACAATGGCTGGAAATGTGTCATTCAGAAATGACAATCTTGCCCTCGGGATAGTTGTTTGGGCGGGAACAGGAGGATGGGCAAACATCGGTGTTGGCGGATGTTCACTCATTTGCAAGTTGGTTTGCCATTTTTCGCAGCCCAAGGGTTGTTGGCAATGCTTGTCAGTGTCGGATAGAGCGAGCGCCAGGCAGTGAGACGAAGTGGGGAGGGCTTTTGGACGGCTTGGGTGTGTCAAGTAACGATGTGAACCGTCCTCATCTTCCTCTTGGTGGTTGTCGAAAGGAAACCGAAAGGATACTGGCCGGGTCCCAAATTATCAAATTCAGGTGTGTTACGACTCGCGACTTTGGGCAAGGGCCCTGATTGGTGGCCAAATTTCAGCTAGCTGCGCGGGTGCACACTCGCCAAGGTGCGAAGAGATCATGACGCGCATCTCGCTGCGGCTCCTTGCAGGAACTTGGAAGGGCTCGCCGATCGAGCAATCATGGATTCTACTGGCTAGTGAACAGGCCAGCTCTTCTGGACACTGGTTGCTTCTGTTGCTCCTCAAACAAGGCTGCAAGGGAATGTTCTGTTGACTGTGACAAGCCTCATCTCACAATTGCTGCAGAAGGCCACTTGGCCTGGAACAGTAGCCTGTGCAGGAGATGGCGGGCAGATGCTTTGTATGATTTTCTTGCGGCATCTCGGTATGCATAAAGATCATGCAAGCAGTTCCGGCAGGCCTGAACATCACCTTGTTGCATGCATCCAGATTTGGTGTTACAGGTCGGCTATGGCAAAGCCGGGCGCGGTGTTCTTTTGGTTGATGCTCAAAGGGCAGCCAAAAGGATTCTAGTTGTTTTTGCAGTTGCCCTTTGTTAGGAATGACCGAGGTGGCGACTCCTCGTGCCAAAGAAACACGAGGCAGGGCCGCTCAAAGTGTGGCGTTCATACCCTTTCTGGGACAGCCCCTCATCAGATGTTGGGGCGTCCGCCTGCGGTGAACGACAGCTTTGGGTGGGCCTTTCTGACACTCTCATGGCTTGGTCGCTGCCAAGGGGGGTCCTTGTTCTTTTGTCGCAGGTCCCACCTGTGGATCCCAAGGATTTGCCCAAAGAGGCGCGCGAGAGGGCAGAGCGAAGTGTCGAGCCAATTTGAGCCACAATCAAAACCGGGTAGATGAAGATTAGTAAGGGGCAGTCCCAGCCATAAATAGCTGCGGCCGCCTTCTTAATTCTTTACATGGTTCTGGGTAGACTATTTTAATACCGGGTTTTGATTGCGACTCATTTGGGATGCTCTGCAAGCATCCCACTGAGGCTGGAGGGAAGCATGTCAACATCAACGTAACAAGGGTTGAAAGGAATCCCAAGTTCGCCTCAGACTCTTGGAAGGCCCAACTTTCAGAAGAATGGCTCTTGCAGCAAAAACGGAGATGCGAAGGAACCCAAAATGGTTGCAAATCAAAGCCGTTGGATTCAAAGAGTACGACTTTTTTCAAGGACGACTAAAGTAGTATCAAGCGTAAGCCCATTGGAAACGGCAGCAAACATCACTGAACGCATTGGACTTCGCGGGCATACTATTCAATTGAGCAGCGCCAGAAACCCTGACAATACAAAGTAGTAAAGGGGGGTGTGGGGTGTCCTATAGAATCCCTGCGAAAGCCAAAACGCAGGCCGCAAAAAGCTTGCGAAAGCTTATCGCGAAAGTAACCAAAGAAGGTCCCGCCGCGAAAGACCCGCGAAGGCCTGCATGCTGTGTGACGGTCCGCCGCGAAAGCGTCGCGAAAGCAATTCTAAAGAAACCAAAGCCCGCGAAAGCAAAACATCGGGTCGCGAAAGCATCGCGAAAGGGTCCGCGAAAGCAAGTTTATAGGACCGCTTTCTACACAAGAGTATTTGGCATGGCTCAATTAGGCAAGGTTTACATAAGCAGGTTTACCCAACTTACAGAGCGGGGACTCGTGAGCGTTGGCCCGCTCATAGTGAGAAACTCCCGTGCCTCTTACCGGTCGGGGTTCCTTTGCAAGTCTACCAACAGCAAGGTTCCAGCATTTCCTGACCTCAAGAGTGCCTAGATTTGATGGGCATTCAGTGTTGCGCGACATGTCAAGCCACAATGTGCTTGGCAGGCACAGGAGCGCAAGAAGTGCTGTACTGGCTGTACTGTGAGCTAGCCATCGGGGTTTTCCGGCCATTCCTGTTCGGTGCGGGAGAAGCGATGCCGCCCTTTGGTGAATTTCCGATATACCTTTGGATTTTCAAAGTTGCAATGCTCACTGCCAAGCATCACAGGAGTCCAATTCTTCTTCAATGGGCGAGGCCCTTCTCCTTGTGCCAAGCATGGGCCAGTTGCTCCGTGTGAAAGTGGTTTTGCGCGCGCAACTCTTGCGGTCGCTGGACCTTGAAGCAAGCGCTGCACGCAACGGCTATATGGTTTCGCCATGCCCGGCCGGTTGATAGCTGCGTCAGCCATCAAGTGGACTCGGCAGCTTTATGTTTGCGCGAAACGCTGTTTATCAATCAGGGCTCCTTAAAAGATACATTTTGCCCAGTTGAAACATTGCTTTTTCCACCAAAATAAAGGGAAACCACAATTTACAAGGCAATGTTCAGGTGTATAATGTAGCGATCCCTGTCAATGATGCCGCGGACCAAGTTGCCAATGGACACCGGCACTCCGCTTAACATAGCGGACATGCGCCCCGGTGCCTTTGTTGCCTGTACAAGGAGCGCAAAGAAGCTTCCAATGCCATGGGATATGCTCCCAATCTCGACGGGTTGAACGGTATCAAGGCTTGATAATCGGGATGTAAAGAGTGGTTGAGCCCGGGCTGAAGATGGAGCCAATCCAAGAAAGGAAGCCCTGACATGCCATCCTTTTTCTCACGGTTCTGATTACACAGCCTTTTGATTTCAACCAGTCTGTCTCCCTTTTTGTTTCCTTTGACACCATCGGAAGGAGGTTTCCCATGGTGGCAACACAAACAGACTGCCAAGGGGAAGAATGGATGATCCCATGGCTTTTGTTCGCCAGGCAACTTGTAAATAGATCCGGTGCTCGAAGTTCGGCGTGACGGCTTTCTTTCGAAGTTGAGTTGGCAACCTTGCAACGTGCAAGGGGCAAATCATTTGGTCAAGGTCCGAGCTGGTTGAAACCTTTTTCAGGCCGGTCACGCTCAAATGTGTATCTTCTCTCAACCTTGGCTCTGCGCGCGGGACAGAGGCTCGCACGTCGGATGCACCACAGCTCAGTCAGCACAATTGCCCAAAGGCAACGCTGCACATCGAGCAGAATAAATAAGTACTGCATGGGTACGCACATGTAGATGCATCGCTTATTTGTGCATGTGGTCCGAATGTATGATGCAGCGTTTTTCATGTATTGATATTGGCATCAACCCCCCAGTACGTCTCTGCTCGTTTCAGGTACAGGAGAGCGCCCTCAGATCTCTCTTGACCCAACCCTGACCAGCAGATCAACCGACCAGCGTTTAGCCAACACAGCACCCACGCTGAACCAGAGCTACGCAGGCACAGAGCCCAAACTTGACTTTAGAGAAAAGCAGTGCCTACTTTACTTCGAAGGTATGATCGCAAAGGCTTGCGTGTTGGAGCGCCCTCCACGCATCGTCGGACATGCAGCGTTCTAATATGTTTGGATGATGGGATGCATAAATTGTACCCTTTTTTCTTTGTCATTAGTTGAGGCAAATCATATTCGCAGTGGCCGTGCCTTACCTGAACAATCTAATCACTAGTAGAAAAAGAAACCCAAAATTTATGGCCTTTCTTGATGACTCCCCAACCTGGCGGAAAACAAAGGCAGCACGTTTCTGTTTTCTTGTCCATCCGCAGGCCGCCCAGTACGTCGCGGGCCTTGCAGAGTGCCTGCGGCCAGGTGGCGCCTGCCTCATTGCCGGGAGTCCCAATTGGTCGGGTTGGGTGAGACTTGACCCGGTGAAATGGGCTGATAAGGCAGGCCCAAAAAGGGGTTGCTCAAGTTGAGCAGGTTTGAATTGTTGTGTGCCCCAAAGCAGGTGTTGGGGTTGGAGCCTTGGACAAAAAAACTACAACTAGACAACCCTGGTCAAGCGGGGTAGGCGTCGGGCATCAGGGCTGGGATGACTGGGCTCACCAAACCCCCCGTGTGACAAACCGAAGGCGGCCTACTGAGACAAGCAAAGCCGCAAAGCGAAACGTGTTTGTTGCTTCCCAGTCTCAACACCGAACCCAGTGCCTCCGATCTGCCATGTGCCCAGGTCTCCAATTCACCGGCGAGGCACAGGCATCTCACGGAGTACTTCGAGGTCCATGTGCAGCAGATCTATCCAGAGGAGCAGCATGAACCCATAGGTCATCGAGGTCATTCATAGGTGTCCTTGTTTGGTTTGACTCAAAACACATGGCACTGGTTGTACTTTTCCAAAAGGACACCTGGGCATGACAAACACAAAGCAACAGGGGCTGTGTGACGCTGATTTTGCTGATGTTGGAAGCTCGGCAGTTGGCGCTAGGTTTCCATAGGAGTTCAGACGTCGCCAGCAAGCCAAGGACCCCGCAAGCCAAGGCGCCACTGGATCAGGAACTAGCGTGGATGGAAGAAACTCCTGTGCCAGTTGGGGTGTATGAAACCGTATGATTACTGGGAGAAACCGCCTGCCAGCTGGTTCAGGATTTTGCCCCATCCACAGTAGGGCCCGCACCAGAAGTGTGCTTTAGCTTGATGACTGCTGTGTGGTGGCTGAAACCGCCCGCACGCAGCAATGATGGCGACTTACAGCCGGGTAGTATTTGTTTGAAATCAATGTATCAAGCAGCGTGCTTGACGAGTGGCACCCCACTCGGAAATAGTCAAAGTTGGAGAACAACACTGGCCATGGCACATGCAAGGATTCAGGTCAATGTGGCTAAGTGCAAAGGAACACGTCAAATTGCTGATGTACTGATGCACACCTTCTTTCTGGATGTACTTTGTACGAGACATGGAGGTTCCTTTCGGGGTGGAACTTGCGCAGGACGGGCCCTTTGGACCTTGCCTCTACACCTGCAGAGAAAAGACGCGGCAAGGGGTGCAACGGAGGGTTCAGGGCTGTTGGAGGAATTTGGCAGCAGCGTATCTCATTGAGCATGCATTGAGGGATACCGATTTGACCCGGCTACTTGTAAGGACACTCTGTGACATGTTCTATTGCTCCCCTATCTTCAGGGGCCTGTTGCTGCAAGACCTCTGTTTTGGCACGCGACTGCTGGTTTGGGATGTCAACCAGTTTGCACAAATTACAACGAGCTTGGGGGTAAACAAGCTCACCCATGGTCCTTCGGTGGATTTCATGGGATTCCTGATTTCCGACTTGGAATTATGTTGAGCCCAACTTGGGATGCACACCCTCAATTTGTGATTTCCCGCGGATTTGTTGAAGCCTGGGAGTGGATCGTCTCTTTTTGCCGGAGTCAGCTCCATGACCACGTGCAGGCCTCCCGATGAGGCGAGCCCTGTCTCTGAGTCTCGCGCAGGCGGCGAGCCCCTGGTACCCCCCCAAATCCCGACGAAGGCTCTATGACTCCTTCTCGGGGGCTGGGTGTGTTCAGTTAAACACTTAAAACTGACTTTTGCTTCGGCTGCCTACATCTTTCCGTGTTGACGCCACTTTTCCGTGGCAACTCCTTTCCACTGCTGCAAGTCGCAGAGAAGACTGAAGGTGTACCTTCGGTAGCCTTCGAGCAGAGCATGCCAGGGTTGTGAATGCTGCTATTGGCTGGCCAAAGCTGTCCGCTAGCATTCCGCCGGATGCACAATGTGCGGTGGCCCTTGCAAGTGGGAGCAGTGTGCATGACCAAGATGACTGTATCTTATTTGCAAGCCGCAGGGGTGCTTTCCGATCTTTCCGATCTTTCCTGGCAAGCCCAAGTCACTGGTTGTGTTGGAAAACAGAGGCCTGGTTGGTCTGAACGGAAGCACCTCCCCGTGAGGCATGAGCAAGCGCCTGTGCGAAAAGCAGTTGGAAGCTCTGCGGCTGTGATGTCGCCCCCAAAGCAAGACATTGGGGAGAGGGTTCCTGAGTGACGTAGTTTCTGAGCCACACAGAGTCCATGGCCCCCACTGGACTTGGCTCTTCCAGTCCACGCAGACTTGGCTCTTACCCAGGGGGCAGAAGGGGCCCTTTGCGGAACCTGTCCTTGCATCCCGCCACTCCCCCTGTGTCGCGCGCCTGTCTCAAGGCCATAAATGTGGAGGTTTGTAAAAACTATCGCCACTGCTTGGCTAGAAAGCAACCCAGTGGGTGCTTACGAATACCTTGGACAGGGCCTGCGGCCCTCCTCTCAGCCATGTAAACGCGCTTTATCATGGAGGAGGGTCGGACGCCTGCCTGAAATTGGAATCAGGCAATTTCAGCCACCGAAGAGCAACGATTCAAACATATGGCACTGAAAGGGCCAAGCCCCTGGTTGGACGGCTCCGGAATTGCCAGGGACATTGCCGCACGATGTTTGGGCGAGGTATGCCTAGAAAGATAGTGGATATCCATTTCTGTTTGCAGTGTTTGCGAGACACTTGCCCATGTATAAAGAATAGGTCCGTCCCGGTTTTGGCGGTGTTTGACAAACACCGAGATAGTTATGTCGTCCCATTGGGACGTCCACTTTGTTTTAACATTCCCGCTACGCAAATGTGGAGCCATGTGGTCAGCCTTTGCTCTCGCCTAGGCCGCAGTTCGTTTGGTATCCTGCGGAGAACAAGGACGAGTGGCAGCTATGCAAGCTTCTGAGCAGGAGCTGCCGGGCCTTAAGTCCAAGCTTTGTCACTTGTAGATCCACCAAACGAGGAAGTTTGCCACCGCACTTTGGTGGTCGTTCGCGACGATCTATATGTGGTGAATGGCAGGTTGACACAGTGTGGACACGGGTCATTGTGGCACTTTGACCTGGCTCAAGGGTTTGTATAAGTGCAAAGGCACGAGGCTCTGTCGTTTCAATTCCTCTCACGCCATGCTGCGCGTGGTGAGCTTTTGTGGAGCTCTTTGCATTGCGACCTTCCTGCAGGGCTGTGAGGAGGTCAGCCATCCAGCCTGCTCCAGCTACAGCAAAGGCACAGCTGGTGCAGTCACCGACACGACCTCCTGCGACACTGCTTGCGACAAGGGCGAGGGCATCCAGACCACGAACTACGGTCCGCACGAGTTCAAGGGCACCTCGGGCTCTGGAATGTGTGAGTGTGTTGTGAGCGACAGTGAGCGGCGCACGGCGTGTCAGGACCCTGGGTATTCTGCCTGAGAGCAGGGCCCATGGCCCACGACCCAAGGTCAGCACGACAAACTGAGAGGCCAGGCGGCAGGAAGGGCACTTTTTGTTTGCTGGCCCTTCTGTCGATCTGGTTTCACCACTTGTACCCAGTGTGGCCCGAATGGCCATGCCGGTTTGGATCTTCCAAAGGCTTCGCCTCTGGAGATCATACGTTCCCGTCCAAAATGACATCTGAAATCGGAGTTAAACTTTCTGTTGAGCCAAGTTGTTAGAACGCCGGAGAATGGAAGTTGATATGTTGGTGCTTGCAACTATGAATCATCATGGTATATTGATTAGAGACAAATATATATATATATATGTTTGAGAAGGAAATGAGTCAAGTGTTCAATTTGATATCCAGGAATGCGGATAGGGGAACTCTGACTGCTCCCTTCCTTTCGCAGGACTCAGTTGGGCGGAGCCAGCCTGCGGGTGGGCAACAAGGAGCGGGGCGAGAGCCCAGCGCCTGCCTTTGA